TGGCTACCATTATTGTTTGGAGGATGAGTATCATGATTTTAGAGGTATAGACCTAACTGAGGTCTTCAAATTATCATATCAGTGGAGAGAATGGATTAATCAGACAATATAAACAAATAGAAGTGCATTTCCTGAAATAAATGCAGTGTCACTGCACAGCTCAAGCAGTTGCTAGACAGTTGCTAAGGTGCTGCCAACTGGTTACTATGGCATTATAGGTGGTTGCTAACGTGTTGATAATCATTTGATATTATATCCCAGTTGGTTGCTAGGTGGTTACTAAGGTGTTGCTAAGCAGTTTCTATGGTATCCCTGATGGTTGCTAGGGGGTTGCTATGTTGTTTCTATGGTTAATAGGGTGTTCAAAATGGATGTGCATCATCGTGATATAACCCAATTCATTCCTAAGGGCATAAACAGTGATGTATGATTGTATGAAAACAAAAAGCTGTATACAAGCACACCATTCCTGATCATTGCTTTGCAATGCGCAATCACTAATGACTCATCAGATGAGGAGGACAACATGCTAAAAGCTAAAGCAGGTAGCAAGCTACCTGGCTATCTTGGTACCTCACCTCAGTTTGGCTCATTTTCTCTGGTTGAAAAGGCAATAAACCCTTTTTAGCAGTGTAGTTAGCACCACAGGGATTTCCAGTGGTTGTATGATGTTTCTCAACCCTGGTCTTGAAGGCCCACTGCCCTGCACCTTTTAGTATTTTTCTTGCTTAATTACACCTCCTTCAACTCAGTAAGGGGCTGTTAATGAGCTGATTAGTTGGGAGCAGGGCAAACACTAACAAGTGCAGGGCATGTGGTTATCTGTTTGTTAAAAGATGTGTTGTGTGCTGTTTGTGTTATTTTGTGTGTAGGGAAGTCACTATGAGGTGGAAGCCTATGGCTATTGGTGTTTAATAAAGAGCACTCCTCATGGTGAAAATCATGGCCTCCCCTGTGTCTTATTCCACGCTGATGCCACAGTGGTGTCAGAAGTGGTATGGTGCCCCCCAGCAGTATGGAGTGCAACAATACTTCAAAGAACTGAGAGAGAGGCAGAGCCTGGAAAAAAAAAACGTTATGGCGGGGACAGTGATACATGACTCCACAGGCAAGATGGCACAGCATGGCTCCATGGCAGAACCAGTGCAGGGAGGCTCGACGATGAAGCTGCCAGGGGAAGGCCTGTTGATGGGGCCGGCATGAGAAGGCTGGATGACAAAGCCAGCATGTCGAGGCTTGATGCAACAGGTGGCATGGCAAGGCATGATGGTGGTGCTGGTGAGAGGAAGGCCATCGAAAGCAAAATCCCTCACAGCCTTCAGCGTGAAAGAGTGATAGCAAGCAGTGGAGCAGTTGGTGAGCCAGCTTTGTGGAGAGAAAGGACACCACGTTGGGCGGTGCTACAGGTAAACGGATGCCGGCTGGGAGGTTCAGTGCCGGCTGCAGGCTAAGTGCAGTGTGGACAGCGGATGACTCATCGTGCTCACTGTTATGGGCTCGCCGATATCCCTACTGCAACCAGGCGTGCTCATGCACACTGAGAGGGGCACATCAAACGGCTGGAAGGTAACCAGCTCAGATCAGTCACTACAGGCAGACGCGGGGCCCCAGCACACACAAGCGGCACTCATGGCAGCGTCTGTGTTGCAGTGAGTGATGGAGAAAGTTGATGACGGCTGGGTGGAGTGCTATTGTTGCTGCTAATGCCCCCAGCTGCATGGGACTTGACGTGATGCACTGCGGGGAATTCTGCCACACACAAGAGGAGCCATAGCAGCAAGGATGTTTTGCTGGCCGGGACTGTGCGCACCCAGGGACTTGGCTCGAGCTGGTCGGTTGCTGGGACGGGTGACCTTCAAAGGGAGGGGCTATGTAGCATCCCACTACTGGCTCGCACAGCCTTAGAAGTTCTGGAGGTATGGCCCTGTGAAGGTCCATGCGAGAAGGTTTATGGGAGGTGGGATTAACACCGTTTTGATCACAAACATGCAATAGATTTTAGAGATCTGTTGCATTTCTCTTTTGCCCTACCAATAAACCATAGCCTTACTCAAACAGTATGCTTTTGTATTGGTTACCCTATTAGAAAGACAGTAAATTTGATAGTACATAGTATTTCACTGTGCAGCAAAAAACAATGCTCTCATTTTAATAATCATTATTATTAGGAGGCTTAGTAAATTAGCAGATTTGTAAAGTAGTCATCTTCATGTTTATTTTGCATGATTTAGGTACAGTTCCACAAAGTAGAGACAGCAGCACTGCCTATGACATTAGACCCTATTAATTATGAAACATTAGTTCTTCTTGGACTGTCCTGTTTCCCAGTGATTTTTCCGTTCCATCCAGCTCAGTGGCCTTGCCAGTTTGGCAAAATTGTTGTTGTAACACATCAATACTAAAACCAAATTAACTTGTGGGGCACTATATATTAAAAACTATTTTTTCCAGATTTTTTCAATAAACACTTTATCATAACCCAAGTCTAAGCCAAGCTTACACTGAGTGGGGAATTTCAAATTGAAATCTTTTGTTGCCTAAGACTGAGCTTTATCTGTGCTGTATGCATATTAAGCCTGTAAAAATATCACTCACCTCCTGAATTCATCAGCCAGTTACAAAGAAAGTAAAGTGATGCACACTGACTCAACCAAAAAAAATTGGTGCTTTTTCCATTCGGAGAAGGTAACAAGATGATTCAGCAGGACATAACTATGACTAACGTTAGCACAGCCATTGATGTTTGACCATGTGATTCATTTTACCTTCTGCATGTTTTTTTTTTTAGTAAAAATCTTTTGCAGTTGAGAGCATCAGAGTCTCTAATAATCTACAGCTGAGAGAGAGCAATAGAGCAAAAGACGACAGAACTCTTGTTAGGCTAGAGCTCAGGCTGAAGGACAGTTTGGTGGGTTGGAGGAGTTTGCTCCCAACCCACTGGGACATCTGCTGCTGTGTCCAGTTTGCTGCCATTCTGCCCAGGCTGGAACACTAGCCCACTGCCTCCACTGTGGAATCAGAGATAATCACACTATTACACTCTTTCTGTGAGTACTCAGTGAAGAAACACAAACTACTTGCACATTTTACAGATCAGTAGCGTTGCCCGAAGGTCTATATGCTTCATTTGAATTGCAGGATACAGAATGTGAGTCAGCATTTATAATTTGATAGATTTGAGACAGTCAAAGCACAGGAGCAATACCAATAAAGCAATACTTAAAGCTACCATGTCAGTTTGGGGGATTTGGAGACCTCTCTGATGGAAATGTGTAATTGTACACAATGCGTAAAAGAACACTTGTAGTGTGGGTTGTGATTCAGACCACTCTGATGATTGCAAGTGTGTCAAAACTTGGTGCAGGACATGTCTTCCGAGGATGTAAGTGAATTATTTACATGTCAACTATATCTTCCTCAGTATAATGTTGATATTGCATTTGAGATCTAAACATTAAGCAGGACCTTCTTTTTGTACGTGTGATGTTGATACGTAGATGTATGATGTGACACCTCTGACTTCTAAAGTCAACATTGACCTTTTTTACCATGCTACTTCATGTCCCTTGTGATTATAAGTACAATTCTTCGTATATCATAACATTTCACACCAGTTCTTGCTTTCCCTTTGTCTTTAATCAATTTGTAATGACTTTTGTTTGCCTCTAAAACATTTTTTGAGTTTTAATTACATCACCACGCATCAGCAGGTGGTGAAAAACAATGTAAACGTTACATCTCCCCTGCATCTGTAGTATACAGTTGATTTCCATAGACAATAATTCTGACACATTTTCCTGTCCTTAATAGAACAACTGAAAACAGTTTTAAACAATTTAAACAAACATAGCGGACACCGGTGGACATCAAATTATTGTCTATGGTAATCAACACTGACAATCAACAATCACTGGTGACAGAGATGAAGCTGAAAATAACCTTTGCATAAATGTTATAGGATACATATGGTCACTTGTCTAGGGTAACCAGATACATCATTTACAACAGGAATGCTGACATGGCTTTTGTAAATAAAGTATGTGATTTAAGCTGCCTGGAACACGAGAATCCACAACATAGAGACTTCTGGTCCAGAATTTGCTTTTGCTCTCCACATTGAAGCCTGCCCCAGTGGCATCCTTTCTGAGTGGGTTTTTCTGGCCACAATGGTCAGACGCCAGGAAGGAACCACCTATTTAGCATGACCACTAAGCCTCGTAGTCAGTTGGTGACCCTGGTTCATAACTAGGATTTTGCCTTGTTCAGCACCAGAGAAAGAGGTTTGTTTCTCTGATTGTAGAGAAGCCAGACTGGGCCTTCAGTGTTTTTTTTAATCACACTACTGACATCTTGAGCTGAATTTGCATTACTAGATTCATTTGTGGGAGCACATATTTGTAAGAAATAGTAGTAAATGAATCTCTTTTCAAGAAGCACACAGTATGCGATCCAAGACCTTAAAGACAGTTTGCATGACTTTATTCAGCATTACCTTCATACCATGGCCAAACAAAGGTCTTGTGAGACTGAGATAGGAAAGGCTCTCTCATGTGAAAAAAAAAATATGGAAGAAACCATAACATTTAGCAATTTACTGGAAAAAATGTAAAATTGTTAAAACTACACTAGCTTTCTTTTTGTAGGCTGTAGGTAGCCACTTCCTTGTCTGAAAACAACAGATCACATCGCTGCCATTTCTAAATAGTCCAGTTCTGAAGTGCCATGGGATTGTTTGGTTAATTCATTCACACTGCCTTTCCAGTGAGGAATCACACACTAAATGAGTTTTCTTTTAATGGAATACTCTTTAAATGCTAAGCACACTTAATTCATACTGCCTTAGGTATTACTAGTTGCTCTCAAACTGGTGGCTTTTCATTATTTTTGGTATAAATGACTTAATTTCAGCTCATTTATCAATATAGAATTAAATGATGTTAATGGGGGTAATTTTAAGCCAGGAACAGCTTGACAAATGGGACAGAAAAAACACAAGATGGTACAACCGACATGTTGCATTTTATTTAAAAATATTCTGTACCAAAGTGCACTTGTAAAGTCAAAAGCTAACAGTTTACATTCAACATTTCTGAGGTAGCTTGGCTGAAATTAACACTGTCAGGAGTGTGCTGATGATAAAAATCACAGCATCATTTTCTATAGTAGCTTCTCTGTCACATACCTGCTTCATTAGCATGCATACGCAAAAATAACACTGTTCTCAGGAAAAAAAGGAAAGAAAAATCCAAAAGGAAGGAAACAGTGGAAGAAACAGGCAGGACTTACAGTATTGCACATCTTAAACACTTTGCACCTCATTTTTAGTCCTTAGAGTACTTAACGTTTTTTTTTTCAATTTATCTCAATTTTCTTTTTAAAAGTTGTTCAGCAGCTTTAGTGGTCCTACGTCAGACAGTGTTTGTCTTTTTCAGAGTGTACGGTATATTCTCACAAACACACAATGTTTTTGTAGCAAAACCCAGTTTGTCACATGCATCCACCTGTCACTATCATCTGTCAAAGCATGGGGCTGCGCATGGGTAAACTGAGGTCACCTGGTAAGGCCTGTTTGGCATGTTCATCTTAGTCTCCAGTGGTACAGAAATGGTCTGAGGCTGTGCTTGCCCATGTGAAGAGGCGCTAGAGGAATGCCGAGAGGCAGCGTGAGTCAGGTAGGCGCTCGGGCCATGGGCTGAGACCAGTACAGGTTGGCCACTCTGCTGGGTATACTGTAAGGCAGGTCTGTGGATGTACTGGGTTATAGTGACATTCTGGCTCTGAGCAGGGTACACGGCCTGCCCTGGCTGCAACTGCTGGCATTTCTGCTTGTTGGCTTCCTTAACATCACTGTCATGGGCCCTATAAGGAAAAGATTAAGGTTTATGGTCTGATGCAAGAACAACAAGATGCAAGAATACAAGTACAACACTTACATTTATTGCATAGGTGCCATCTGGGATAATGCGATTTGAGAATTTACATTTACAACTTACTCTCCCTAAAAGTACGTTTTCTCACAGCAAGAAAAGCCCACCAGGCAGCCACTTACATTAGCAGTTTCTCCACACAGGGCAGCAGCTGCTCCCAAGTGTAGGCAGTGAGACGTTGTAGGCGAGGGGGCCAAGTCGGGGACAGGCGAAGAATGACTCGGGACGAGGCCACGGAGGCAGCAGCTACCAGTGATGGGGCGAATCTCAGAAATGCATGGTCTGAGGAAGAAAAAGCAATGCATTTTGGATAATGGAAAAATAACCACTGATTCAATCTTTCTTGTTAAGTAATTGAGGTCAGTATTTGGTCTTAGATTTATAGGTTATTAGTTTTGTGTAAGTCCAGAATCCCATGTTGATTTCATTTTATGACACTTAAACGGTGCCTTTTTCAACACTGTGTTTTTGAATTATAGGCCAACTAAATGTAAAAAATAAAACTAAACATGAAAACCTCCCCTTTACCTTGTAAGGAGACTTCCAGAAAGTAGTCTGCATATTTGGTCATGTACAGCATGGTCTTCTCCAAGCACACCATCGGCCAGCCATCATGTAGGTCCGTCTCAGTGACTGCGATTGACAGGTAGTACTCTATGAAGTGGGCAGCAGTGGGTAGGTAGAGGTTCCAATGAAAGGTCTCTAGTAACAGCAGCTCCATGTGGAGTAAACCTTGTTTGGTCAGCACCAGGTTCATGGAGCTCATACAACCAAGGCTGTTGAGCGTCTCCAGCTTTGGCACTCTGTCCTCTCGCTCCTCAAATTTACCTGCAATTAAAGGGTTTAGAAAAATATATAATGTACTATATATCTCCACCATAAATGGAGAAGCAGAGCCGTTGGACATCCAGCTTGAATAGACACACTGAAGCACGTACAAAAGTGCAAACGCTCTAACATAGAGATGCATAAACAGCACGACCACATCAGAGAGGAAAGAAAGGTTGGGGAAATCATGACTAGCCAACCACTTACTAGCCAAAAGCAGACAGGAAAGGGCCACCAAATGAAGCTGCTGCACAGAGATGTCATAGCGGTCCATAAAAAGGTCCAGCAGGTAAACAGCCAAGTGCCTGGCAGACGGGCACAGCCGGAAGCGATTGCTCACTATAGCTATGAGGTCTGCAAAGTAGCGCCTGAGGTTGAGCTGTGGGGACTGACCTTTGTAGACAGGTAACCTCAGTTCCTTAAAGAAAAGAAATCATCATAACACCTTTCTGAATTCTGCAAATGGGTGCAGACCAAGCCAGGTTCAGCTGCATATCCCTGGGTCATTTCTCAGCATGCATGAATTGGTTCTACAAACGGCATACATTAATACAAAATCAACCTCAACATACAAACCTTGTAACGCAGAGCATGGTATATATCTCCAGCGAGTTGTCCTTTCCACCATTGGCCCTCCAGCTCCATTGGATGAAACGTGTTGGGGTGCCTTGTAGGTAGAGATCTTGGTTAGTGATGCAGTCTATGCAGGCCAACTGCCTTTCAAACTGGAAATTGAGCTCCGATGTCAGCTACTACAAACGTGTTAATGCCAACTAGTCTAACTGCAAAGCTCGCTCCCATTCTGAGCTGTGTTCCTGAGAGTAAGAAGCTCTGTATGAGCCATGCTGATTATCCCCCATTGGCTCAGTCTGTGTCCAATGGTGTCCTCAATCAAGAGCTGCTAATTTAGCCGGCCTTAACAAGTCTCAGCGCCACACAGTCAACCACACAGAGAAAAGTTAGGCAAGCAAGTGGCTCAAATCACATCAACTCATTCCTGCTGGGTTGTCAACTCGAAAAGCGGCCACCTAACTTAGTAACCAGGAAAAAGAGACCTGAGTAATCAGATAAATCCGCAACGACGCGTCAAACTGCGATTTGAAATGTGAAACTGTGGTTCAGCTCTGATGTGACTCAAGGCCATTTAAACCGGAGGCAGTTTTCGCTCCTCAGAATCAGAAAGATTTAACTTTGGTACTTACCCCGGACAATGAAACCCGCATACAGACTACAGAGGTCAAATTACTACCTCGACATTAAATTATTCTTCACAACAAAGTTGTGAGAGAACAATCTAAAAAGCACCACAGGCTCTGCTTGTGTTTGCGGTGAAACATCTGCGTACAAACAACAATGGGCAACACGACTCAGGAACTTTGGACGCCTTCCGCCAATCAGATGGCTCCTTACAGTCGACAAACCTCAGTGACCGTCCAATCGGGAGTAAGCTTGCAGTGACGTCACGACGTTCTCGTCTACAGCCCCCCAGCAGAGGAGCTGCAGGCAAAGGAGAAAACTTCTTCCTTTTTTTAATGTACTATTTAAGAGACTTTTTGGGAAAACTTTTCCAACCTTTTCTTTAAATCAAATGATTACTCATTCATTCTTAGAGTCATCGTAAAAAATACATAATTTTATATATATTTATGAAAATGTTTTTCTAATGATTCATTTCTTAATTATTTCTACCAATTGTTTAATCCATAAACAAAAAATTTGGCACTCCACCCGTTTTCTTTTAGAAATAGATCATAAATAAATAATATAAAGTGCTCAAATGCAAAAAAGCAGATAAATAAACAAAATCAATATATAAAAATAAAAAATCTATTTATTGTTTAAACCATACAAAGAAATATTTCCTGGTATTCTCTATACATGAAACCCTCTTTCTATTTTACTTTCTTTTTCTGTATTATTTTTTACACTTTTTATAAGGTTTATGTTTATGTAGGTCTCAGAATTAATATTTTAAAATATTTATTTATATTTATTATTATTTATTAGTGTTAATTACAAATTATAATTGAATTATGTGCACTGCATGTATCATGTTAAACTAAGAGGGCTATTGTGCTCTATGAAAAAAAAAACACACATTATCTTTTACCGAATCTTGGACGTTGAGTATTGTAGTACCTCAAGGTTTAAGGTCCTCTATATTGGATTCTTCTAACTAATTGAACATATTCTTCAGAAACTACCAGCAGGTGCTGGGATTAAAATCAGTTGTTTTGGGATGGTGAAGTAATATGGACGGCTAGGATGGGGCAGGTGATGGTAAACCTTCGGTAGCACCACACAACTTTGTTGCTAGCACTTTACTTCTTTACTTTTCCGCTGCATTGTGTAATGCATTCAGGTTTTTGTTGTTATTTATTTCATTTTTTGCATGTGTAACTTCTGATATGTGGACAAACTCTATATCAGGTACACAGATAATGGCCAGGTGAGTGAAAGTTTGATCTCCATAAGAGGCTTGAGAGTGGTCCAGTATCTTTGATCAAAACATCAGCAAGTACACTGCTGAATGCAACAGTTTTTAAATAATATTGTAGCATCTTTGTAAAGAAGGAGAGACAGGAGAGGCCATGATTTCTGCTATAAGAAGTGCTCTTTATTTTTTTTTACCAGCAGAAAAGTCACATAACTTCAGGGGGACAGTGGGGGAAGGCCACTTATAGTCCTAAAATACCTGCTGACGGTGACCACAAAAACACACTCACTAACCCATGGCAGAAACACAATAAAACACAAGCAAACACATAGACACCCCTTAACTAACAAACATAAACAATAACGAGAGCAACGAATGTGCCCCCAAACACAGCTCGAGCCAAGTCCCTGGGGCGTGTGGAATCCCAGCCAGCACATCGCTTGGGCCACATGCTAGCCTCCGTGGCTTCTGGTGTGGCAGGACTTCTCACGGCCCACTGGGTAAAGTCTGGCATGACCGGGGATGGCAACAGCAGCAACAGCACTTCTCTCAGCCGTCCTCGTGCTGTCCACTGTGCTGTGGACGCTAGTGAGGGTGCTGCTTGAGCATGCTGGAGCCTTGACTCTCTGCCATGGCTCTGTCGCTGGTGACTAACCTGAGCTGGACTTTGGTCACGTTCCAGCCATCTGATGTGCCTCTCTCGGTGTGTGTGAGCATGCCTGGTTGTAGTCGGAATAATGATGAGCCCATATCAATGAGTGCGATGTGGTCTATGCTGCACTCGGCCCAGTGTCCACGACTGCTGGAGATTCTCCTAGCTGGCTTCCGTTTCTCCACCAGCTCAGGTTGGCTGCCATGGTGTCCCCTCTTCCTGCAGCATTGGAACACCATGCGCTTGGCTGCCAGCACTCGTTCAGGGGCCATGTGGCACACATGTTCCTCTGCCGCACAGTGCTGTGCTGCTCATCGTGGCGTCCCACTTCTGACACCAAAGGAGACATGGGAGAGGCCATGATAAGAAAAGGCACATAACTTCGGGGGGACAGCGGGGAAGGCCTCCTCTAGCTCTAAATTACCTGCTGACAGTGACCACAAAAACACTCACTAATCCACCACAAAAACACAAGCAAACACATAGACACCTTTTAACTAACAAACAACCGCGTAAACAACAATGTCAGCAGCAAACGTCCCTTCAAGGAGGGGGAGGTTGAGCAGGCAGCATAGTTCTGCATGCCTCTAGAGCCCCACATGCCAACCGGAGCAAGTAGCAGCTGCCACAATTTGATAAATTGTACATACTATGACCAGGGACAAGAAGTTAAAAAAAGGTGTCATTTCTGATTTCAGGTTGACTTTGGTTCACCTGATCTATAATTTTTTTTATGTCCTCTGTATTGAAAATATCAGTAATAATAATAATAATAATAATAATAATGCATTTTATCTATTTACATTGAAAAGGACAAATTGGAAGAGGAACCGTTTAAAAAGTGCTTCAGAAGATCCACAGATGGTCTTATTTTAATGTTTTTGCAACATACAAACGGTTGAACTGCAAATCAAGCAGACCTGTTGTGGAGCAACTTGCCAAAGCAATGGAGCACGACTCCATCTGAATGCAACTTGACAACCATTAATAGGCCCATGCAACATATTGCACGACATAAAAGAGACTTGTTCTAACTCTGTAGTTTTTTTTTTACCTTTATTGCTGTTTCAAATTCAGTACAATAAACTGACCTGATCGTATTTCACTGGCTGGATTTTGACAGTTCTCTGCCACTGTAACGTTGCCGGAATGAGTTAATATGACTGTTATAAACTGTTGATAGAAGCTCTAAAGAGGAAACACGTGCTGCCTAAAATAAGGGCACCGCTCTTGTGCAGAGTTTGCAGGCTACCTGCGCCCCGTGTTGGCGCTGTAAAAAAAAGCCCTTCTACACCAAAGCGACCGGACAATGCACGGACACGGCTGTTTCCCTGAAGCGACGTGGTGGTAATCTATCGTTATCCGCTTTCCTCGCCGTCTCTGTCGGTTTAAAGCTTTCACAGCGTCCCCGGATTGGACTGTCATGGCTGCCATCCGCTGTTGACTAAACTACGTTAGGTTTCACTATGAGGACGTAACAGCGCGTAAGTCCGTTTGAAGCAGAAGTTTTGTGCTCTCGTTTTGCTTGGACATAGTCGTCAAGTGAAAACCGAAAGCTTTTCTAACTTATGTATGTTTAATTGAAGTTGTGGTTGGTTTGAGCCGCTGGGTAAACCAGGAGGTGGAAGTTAGTGTACGAGTAGCTAAACTCAGAGCTGCAACACGTACGTTAGGCTAATTTTACATAAGCCTCAGAAAAGCCTAGCTGAGTGACGAAGGACGGTGAATAATGGCCTGTGGCGGGTAGTATGTGCACTATATGGAGTTTTGTTAACCGAAATGTCTTTTCTGAAGTTTAAAACTAACGCCATTATTTCAGCATGGTGCAAAGTGCAGGCTATCTCTGCACTTATGCTACTTCAGTACAGGTACAAACAATGGTTTGTTGTTGTCAGCTAGCTAAGCGGGTAATGAGCAGTGCTTTCCGAGCTGTTTTGCTGTTTTGTCCAATTCTTTAAACTGTAAACTTGAGTGAGTTGAAAATGCAGACGTGTGTAATGTTAAACTTAGATGTGAGAAAGACTGGCAAAGTCGACCCTGAGCTCTTCACAGGTGGATATTACTCAATGAATCTATAACACTGTTTTGCTTACCGTATATGTTGCTTTTGATGCCTGAGTGCTAACGTTTCATACGTAAAGTTCATTTAAACGGACTTTGCTCTGTAATAAAGACGTTGTAGCCAATGGTTTAAGGCTGAGGTCCCTAATGTACAGCCACAGCCTCTGGGGAGCATTTGTGAAACAAACCCCAAACGTTTTGTGCAGCAGTGTGAAATTTTGATGCTAAACTATGATTTAATGATATAAAGATGCTGGATCTATTACCATGTGAATCACCCTAAGGTTATTAGTGTGAGTACATACAGTACAGCCCCAGCCTCTGGGGGCTTTTCAGAGGTTTTTGTAAAACAATGGGCTATTCTGTGGCTAAAATTAGATTTTATGATATAAAGATGCCTTATTTATTACTGTGTGAAAATTCTGCAAGTTAAAACTTTCTTTGCCTCACATTGAGTAATAACATGATGGTAATTAGGCTTTGGCAATGTTAGATTTATAGCATATCACTATATATAATAATGTTACCTCTACAGGAGGTTATAATCAAACCAGAATCCACTCGTATCTGTAAATGAGTTCCTCTGTCTCTGTATTCATGAGAACAGATGTCATCAGTGGCATCCAAACAATTCCAGGCAAATCTGGAATAGGCACATTTTAGTGTGCTGGAAATGCATTATATTTTATTTTACCTTGATTTGAGCTTTTGGACCCTGTGGCTTCCAACTTTAAGACTTTATGGGATTTTGCCAGCTAGGAACCTACAGTTTGTGATGACAAAGGTCCAAATATTCTGATATACATAACTGTGACTTTGCTAATTAGCTAACTGATCATGACACCACAAACTTTGACAATTGTCATGATTTAACTAACCAAAATAATCAATTTTGTGTGTGTGTGTGTGTGTGTGTGTGTGTTGTAGGGGTCTGTGAATTGAACATGGAACATACCAACCCAAGCAGCCATCCTGAGGATGCTAACCATGTTGATGACAATGAAAGAGGCAACTGGCATAGACGCCTACGACTCAGGAAATCCTCAGCTTCATCTCTCACTGTGAAAAGTACGACTGAAGAGGAGAAGGTGGTTATAAAACCACAGAAGATGCCATCCCAAAATGAACGCCAGACTCGCCAAGTTGTCAACAGTTCTAGCAGCAAGCTCACATTCACTTGCTCTGACTGCAAGGACAACACAAAGTATTGTCCACATGATTTGTTAAACCACTTCAGTGTCTTTCATGGAGGAAAAGGAGACCCACCGACTTTTCCTTGTGACATATGCAGTTTTGCTACCCCTGAGTTCACTATCCTCCAGCAGCATCGCATGAAGCACAAACAGTGTAGGCTCTCGTGTGAGATTTGTAATGACAATGTTTTACAAACGTTATCCCAACTCAAAAAGCACTGTAAAACTCAGCACAGCCTAAATGGACAGTACCACTGTGGAAAGTGCAGTTTTTCCACAAAGGAGCTAAAGAGTTTTGTGCATCACCCTTGCCCAACCAGGACTGAGTCACCCATAGATAGCACTGAAAAATCAGGTATTAAACCCATGAATGGTGAACTGAACGGAAATCATCTGGATGCTGATGGGGCACCTCAGAAAGAGGAGCTCCTACAGCCCATGGCTACAGACTGCCGTCAGGGATGGAGAAGAAAGAACTGGTGGAAAAAGAGAGACAGTCTCCCAAAACCTCACAGTATTAACACACCAGACTTGAAAGCCCTACTCACAAAACCAGAAACTCAGTGGACATCCTCAGGATTTCTGCCTTTCTCAGCTGCAGGTTTGCTTGATGAAAACGGTGTACTTCTAAATCCAGCCAGGACCTTAGAGGAGACCCAGCAGTTTCTGGAGAGGACCGTAAACAGTGGCAAGAAATGGCCAGTCAGTCTAAAAGGTGAATCAGAGCTTGCATCTCAGCCTTGTGCTGGATCAAAAATTAAGCAATACAGCATACCACTGCCTGGATTCAGGAATTCTGGGCAGAGTAAACTCCCAGGTCTAATGGAAAAAAATAATATCTCAGTCCCTCCTGATTGCACTACAAAGGTGGTTGGTTTCAAGATGGTGGATGGAAAAAAACATCTTATCCTTAAAGTCGTACCATCAGCCAAGTCAGACGTTTCTCCAGACGCAGGAAAAGAAGTATCTACCGGTTTAAATCCTGTTGAATTCAATAGTATAGGATCTGAATTTTCAACTGAGAGACCCAGTGATCAGACATGTCCTGAATTGGGCAACACGATCACTAAAAATTCCTTGTTTCTCTTTTGTGATGCTACCTCAAGTTCTGGTGAAAAGCAGAGTGAAAAGCAGCCTGAAGATCCAACCGCACCTCAGGTAGATAACACTGAAAATGACTGTAACAAAGGCAGTCGTGCATTTACTGAAATTTCTAGTGCACCTCCACAACTTGCTGTCTCAGGAACAGAGGAAGATTTTAATGTAGCAATTCAGAAGAACACTGAAAAACAGTTGATGTCTCCTGGTGTAATGTCTGACTCACACAACACGCATCACCTCAATGAAGTTGTGGCAAACATATCAGTGGAAATAAGTTCTCTCAGAAAGGCGGATATCCAAACTCTCAATGCAAACATACAGAACGTAGAGCACACAAAGAAGCGCACAGACTCTCAGGAAAAAGCAGTAGAAGATTTGACAGAAAACCGTCCTGAGCTTACCACAAGCCAAAATGATTCAGGTTGTCATGGAGATTTGGCTTCCAGTATTCCATCTGATTTAGACAGTTTGGAAGAGGGATTTCAGTCCCAGCTTTCAGGCCTGATGTCTGAGGAAGACAGAAGCTCAAATGTGGACTTGATTAACGTGGATATGAAGTCAGGTGAAGACTCTCCAGTAATGCAGTCACCCCTGCTTCCCTTGAATGAGCAGAAAATGGTGAACATGCCGTCCAGTGCAGTTTCATACTCTCCCACAACTCAAGAGAAGGAAGCCATCTTCGAACCAAATATTAATCCAACCGTTATTTCTTTGCAAAAACATACTACTGAGCCTCCGTTTAATTCCCCAGGTGAAGATGGGGGCTTGTTATTCCAAGACAGCGGTGATGAGTACACAAACAATGTAGACCCCAGAGATGCTCCTGTCCCCTCAGAGCAGAGCTGTACAACTGAAACTGTAGAGGAACCTAATTGCTTAGCAATATTATCACTAGGAGACTCTTGCCATAATGCAGACCTGTATCAGACACTAGAAGAGCTCCCTGTTACCACCATTAGCCATTTGCTTGATGACCCTGAAGTTACGTCCAGAGGTAAGCAATAATTTCATATTTATAACACAAGTGTTGCAGTGTATGCACTGAGCTTTTATCTTCAAACCTCCTGCACAGCTATTTTTAACCCTCATCTTACTGCTTGGATTCATGTGAAATCTTTATTTATAACTTTTTTAGGCTGTGAGACCTTCTTCTCTTTTCCTGTTGTATTTTATTTTTCTACATAACTGTTTAAACACAGTGTTACAGTTTCAATACAATGAATCACATTGAAAATTAGACTTTTAAAAAGTAGGAATGATGCACCTATATGCAGGGATCTGTGGGCTAAAACAGATATGCGATATCTTTCTTGTACATATCTGCAGACTGATGCCAGTGCTGTTAAACATTTAGAAAATGTAGAAATTTGGACCACCTTTTCCTGGATTACCATTATAGCAAAAAATAACTTTTATTTCTATAAGGTTACAAATGGAATAGACTGAATAAAATGCAGATATTTTAGCATGGTAACCCAGAGACACCTAAACACTCTGCCCTTTTAGAGTACAGTAAATACATCATCAAATATCAGTTAATCTTGATTTTGCTTTGGAGTAACAGTTGGGGAATTAAGAGTTGTTAAGTAATTTGCTGTTCACTGACCTATGGAAAAATCTTAATTTTGATTATCTGAATTATTAAAATGGCAGCTAGTTCCTTGTGGGACCTTTCATGGATTCTTTTTTCTATACTTCTGATATCTTTACAGGTGTTACACACCAGTCAGAAGAACTAGGTAGTCTGTCTACCCAACACGTGGGCCTGCAGTCACCCAAAGCCATACCAGTAGCAGCAACGGTAGCTACTGGGAAGAACTCTACACAGTCTAATGTGTGCCTGCCACCAGCGAATGAGCCAGCTATGAAAAGAAAGAGACAAGGACAGCCAACTACACACAACTCTCAGGTGCCCTCTAAATCTAGGAAACAGCTGGTCCAAAATTCTCAAGAAAAGGACCCACCAGCATCCATCCCTTACTGGGAACCAATTCCTGAAGCAGAGGAAAGGACCCTAAGGCTCTTGCCTGTTTGTTCCTCACAGCCTATAAAAGTTCCACGCCTAAACCAGCCTGTTATAGTTCTCAATCACCCAGACACAGATATTCCAGAGGTGGTGAACATTATGAGAATAGTTCATAAGCATAAGGGGGCAGTACAGAAGGTAGTACTGTCTCAGGGAACTCTGAAAGCCCTTTCGGAGCTGAGCTGTGACCCATTCCGGAAATCGCTCGGCACTAACTGCCATTCTTCTCACTACAGAAGAGCATGGCCGCAAGGAACAGTCAAAGAAAGGTTCATTCTGAAACTAAAGCTGAAGAGGTTATGCGGTAATAAGTATGAGGTGACACCTTCAGCCTCTAAGACGAACAGGTACCAGTCAACCTTCAGGTGCTGGTTTTGTGGTCGGCTCTTTAAAAACCAGGAAGCGTGGGTAGGTCATGGTCAGAGACATCTTATGGAGGCCACTCGAGACTGGAACAAACTATTCAACGGAGAAGGGCAATGTAATAGCCCTATTCAGCCATACTTCCATTGAGCTTTTTTTGTGACACTGAAACTGTGATGCACAGGCATTGCTTGTTGAAAAGACTGTATTTTACAAAAGCTTTTCATGGGCAGCGCTGGGTTCAGAGGATGCTGAATAGCCAGGCAGTCTGAATTACGGTCTGCTTGTGTTTGTGCAGATCTCAGGGTGTGCAAGACAGGTTGCCTAATGTCATTCAGGGTTTTGAGGTATAGCCTGCTATTTGTCAGCAGGTCACTCTCGGTAGTGACGGGTTGATAAAACATCTCAGGGATGGTGGGCCAACTAAAGCAGCGTTATTTATTTATTTATTTATTTTCTTTTTAGCAGCGTCTCACTGTGAAAAGCAATGTGCATTATTTGTATAAATAGAGGATTAAGAAGTCCTTTTTTCGATGTGGTCTGACCAAAATCTTGACACTGCTGTAGCAAAGCTTTAGTGATGTTATGTGTGCTAAGCGGAGATCATTTGCCTGTATTGCTTTGCCCTTATTTGAATACCAAATAGAATTTCTTTCATTAAGCTAAAGGCAGGACAATCTGTTTGAATACTTTATAGTTTAACCAGCTTAAATGGTTTCCTTACAACTTAGGATGTTTTGTTTGTTTTGAAGTATTGAATGTGAAACTACTGTAGATAACTGGCATTTATAATGTATCTTAATGGCTACAGTGCATCCTTATTTCTGGCATTAATGCACTGTCCTCAGACATGTCCTTTTGAGTGCTTACTGATTTTAAACAAGAATACTCTTTTTTCTGATTTTTTTGCTAGGAAATGCATTGTCATTCACATTCCTCTGGCTTGGAGTAGTTTTTCAGCTGCACCAGGAATACATCAAATACCATATGTCTGCGGTTAGTCATGTAAGTTTTTGAACCCAGTTGAATTGGAGGTATAGGCTACTTGTTGTATAGCCTTGACAGTCTCAAATACATGCTTATGTTTTGCTAAATAGACTGTAAGCAAATGTAAGTTATAAAGAGTTATAAAGCTTCAAAGGAATTGTGATATTTTGAGACTAGAGCACTTCACTGTCGTCTGCGTTGAAACGCTGTTATATTCTTAGAATCCTATGACGTTTGTACACCAAGGGTGCTCACTGTTATTTTCTGCCTGTGCTGTAGTGGTTTTGCTGCAGACGATTCAGTTTCCCTATGCTGTAGTTAAAATGATTTTATTTATACCTAATTTGTAAAGGCATCAGTATTGTCAAAGATCGAGCTTCATTCCAAATCATATTTTGTGTTATACTCTTCACATCTTAATTAATTTCTACATTGAGAACTTTTTAAAAAATATATGTTGCATCTTTTATTTCAGGTGAATTAGGCCAATAGAATGAATGTTTCCTCATTTCTCATGATTATTATTGCACTTAGTTACGACTGTGATTCTTTCGGTTTGAATTCCAGTGGAGTAACTCGGATCCAAGCCAGATAAAATAATTGAAACTTTTTTTACTCCAGGACTCTTTTTCTCTGACTATAAGATCAAAATGTTGTCTTTTTTTGTTTTCTAAGATTTAAACACTGGTAAAGATGTGTGTAAACCGTGAAGAACTGTGAATAATATTTCCTAATAATGTACTCAAGTGCCTTTCCTCAGGCTTGTTACACCCTGTGTCCTTGTGCTGTGTGTAGACTTACTGCTGTTGAACAGATGTCTGATTAAGAGAAATACATTTGAACTGATTGTTGTTTGAAGGTTGCAGGACAGCTGCATGTTTAGTAACAACCACATATGTAGAACAAAATCAAGCATCTCTGAATGTTCCATATGTACACTAGAAATACACTGGACAATTTGAGCTTAAATGTCATTACAAAAATAACCTCTGTTAGAAAAAGTATTCTAATAAACTATGTCTCAGAGGTACACACTATTCTCCAATCTGGATATTTTTTTTTAGGAGAAACAAAATATACAAAGAACACAGAATACAGTTCATGTATTCATAAAGTAAAGTACACACTATTACACACCATTTTTCTGTTGTCTAACCAATCTGGACACCGTTGTTTTGCTGGAAAACATTTCCCTGCTTGGTCAGTATTTCCACAGTCCGGTACTGGTTGGATGGATGTGGGAGAGTAGCGTGCCATCAAGCATGACATCTCTTTCTACACAGTCACTGCCACAGTGGTTCCAGGATGTTCTGTAGAATTCTGGCAGTTCAGAAGTTTTCTTACAGTGAAGAGTTCTCACAGCTTCACTGTGTGCCTCAGCTTGGTGGAGTCCTTGGTGTTGCTTTGTGTGTCCACCAACACGAGTGCATTCTTTTGGTGGTTCTCAATTATGTCAGAGACGGTACTAAACCGCTGAAAAAGAAAACGAGTGGAGATTTCAGTAAAAGTTATCTAATAGCCCCAAGGATACATAAGAGTAGTGATGGCACGATACCACTTATTCTATTCCGATACCAATATTGAAACCTTGAGTAACATCCATCCCAGCAGTACCAGTTTTTTCTTTAAAAATGGCTAAGCTATAACAGGACTATTTTACATATTATGTATATGTGTGCACAAACACTACTATTTCACCCTTACTGTTATCGTATAATGGTTACTGATGTTATAACGTGACTTACTTTAATTCCCTGTATGAATTGCATCACTAAAAGCAATTCTGTGGTATATCTGATGTTATAAAAACAGATTGGGTTAATTCTTTTGTTTCCTCTGAAAGGTGATCCAGCATTTTCTGCTGAAATCAGACCGATACGAGTACCCAGCATCAGCTCGGTGCCATCACTAGTAAAGAGCCATAAAACATGAGACATGTTTACTTCTCTAGAAATGCACTATGTTATGTTTATCTGCTAAAGACTAGGGTGTAGGCAATATGATGATATCATTATCATGATAAATGATGTCAAAATATGCATTTCTGAGCATATCATAGATATCGCCAGTACATAAAGAACACTGACCAACTGCATGAGTCATTACAAAGAGCATAATTAGTCCAGTTTGATTGGACAGGGTGTGCAGTGCAGGGTGTGAAACGTTGAATAAAAATCATTGTGTAATTGTATTCATAGTTTTTGACAGTATTCTTTTAAATGTGGCACTGCTGGGGCTTTTTTCTCTGTTCTAACTGATCAAGCTTATCTTTTCCACTTATCACAAATCTGATATTTTGATATGTATTGTAAAAACATGTTCAAGTGTCATGATATTGTATTTTTGCCATATTGCCCACCCTGGCTATAGCAATCTGTCTTGTGTTGGTTTTGCTGTTCAAATAGCTCCAGCAACTTAATTTGACGACATATCAGTGCACCTTATTCTCAAGAGGAGTCATTGTGTGTACAGGTATTTATTCGCAATGTAAATAGTGAATCAAGCATAGCTAGTATTTAAGTCAGGTGGTGTAATTCAAGGTCTGAAATGATACCTATTGACACTGTGGAACCTCTACAGATGCAGCTAAGCACCCGTGTACTGTTCTTTATATCTTACCTCCTCTCCGTTCTTATGCTTGCCAAGGGCATATTGTTTTGTGGTGGGAATGTAGCGCACTGGGATGTTATACACTCTGCCATTGTAGAACACCACCAGGGTGTAGGGCTGCAGGGCATCAACACCTGAGCTTTTCCTCACTAGGTAAGACCCGTCCTGAGGAAAAAGAAACAGCACCAAGGAAGAATGAAATGACCTTTGCAGCATGCAGTGATGTTATGCTTTAAACATATACTGCATAAAATACAATGTACAATGTAGTACAGCTGTTTATTAGACACTGCTTGGAAATCAACAAACTGAGTTAGTTGAGAAGTAACACAGTATAACATGCTGGCTATGTTTGTGTCTTCTGGTCAAGCTGACTTGCCTTGGCTGATCGAATCAGAGCATCTTCTGCTTTTTTGCGGTCACAATCGCTGGCATACCAGGCCCTCTTATACACACCGGCCTCCTACAAGTGAAGAACGATGGTCATAATCCAGCATAGACCATGCAGGCAGGGACAACAACCAATACATACTTACTATATTTTTGTAATAAAGCAACTGGGTTGCAGGTGGCATGTTGTACCTTGTAAGTACGGGGGGGAACGATATGAAAGTAATTTATCATGACGTAAGTGACCAAAATAGTTGTCTATTATCACAGTAAAAACATTAAAAAAACACTAATATTCATTCAAGTCATTTCATGGAAAGACTCTTCTGTTTCTTTGTATCACCAAAAAATCAACTATAAAATCAAAAATTAACGCCTTCTGCACATTACATATTATGAATGTGTTGGCCTGGTGCCTGAGTGTAGGCTGTAGCACAGCGGTGCCCATTCCTGGTCCTGAAGATGTACCATTCACTCTGATTAGGGTTTAGCTCCAACCCTGATCAAAAACATCTGATCCATGTAATGAGGGCCTTCAGAGGCAGTGGAATATTAGAGCCAGGTGTGTTGGATCTGAACTTTACAGGTTGGTAGATCTCCAGGACCAGGACTGAGCAACACTGCTGTAGTCTGTTTACTTTCACTGCGACTTTTTTAAAAAGATGACAATCGTACATGGTTATCGAAATGTTTAAAATTTGAAACAGTATGATTATTACTGGGTTTATACTGTGATGTATTGTTAAAAGCGCTAAGTGTCCCATCTGTAACCTAAGGAAACATTCACTTTTCACAATGCACTTTACAGTGGCTTGTCATGAACATGCTGAAACTGAATCATACAGTGGCCTAACCAGGATCTAATCGGCCCTAGAGCAAAAAAACAGAATAGGCCTCGTAATAGAATAGCCTTGTAATTATGTCTCAAACAAGTCGATACTCCTTAAGGCCGCTAGCATCTAACCTCAACCTAAACGTTTCCTATTAGACCTCCGTTTAAGGTTAACAAATGAAAAATAATTAATATATCATGTTGCAGGTTGTGAAGGATCTGCCTGGAACTGGTTAACATGGACAACATGAATAAGGGGAAAATAAACATCAGTTCTGTCCGTGTAGTGTTGAGGAAGACAACTGATGCAGTATGCTGTGAAGAAACTGGATCTTTCTAATGGGTGTACAATTGTGCTAGTAACTATAAGAGGGGCCCAATGAAGATTTTAGGACTCCCCCTGCACCATGGGTCCCAGGCCACTGCCTCACCCCCATTAGTTATGCCCCTGGGTTAATATATTTTAAAAGTAATTTGCTGGAAACATGTTTAATAGGCTGGTGTAACATCTGCCCTTTGTCAGACTACACAATCAAGGTGAAAGTGAAGTATAATGAGTAACAATACTGTGTGTTATTATTGCACACAGACAGCACTGCCTATGTGAGCTATAACAAACCAAATTAAGGGAAGTGCTATTGTCCTATGGGGTGTGATGATCACCTCCTCTTGCTGTCTAGTTCCACTGTCCTCCCGAGATAAGCTTCCTCTCTCTGCTGCTGGGGGCTCTGCACAAACAGGAGCGTAACGGACAAATTACAAAAACAACCAACTGACAAGGGTGAAACGGAGTGTGCGGGCGTGTTTGTGTGCGATAAAATCTATTAATAGGAAAACTTACTCTGGTGGGGGATCTCGCGAGGCAGAGACATCCTGCAGGTGCCATAAAAATGAATAAGGACATTCACCAATGATTAACCACACTAGACATTTGTTCAATTTGACCAGTGTTCTTTGTCCGTGATCACTTACTTTGCACGATAGAATCCAGGATTTGGTGGATCTCGAGCCATGCTTGCAGGCGAAGCTGTGGAGCATTAGATACAACATTTAAAGTAACAGTGAGCTCCATATTTTTCCCATTATACCATTTAGCTTGTGGTTCAAATAGGCATTTTGAGTACTTTCTAAATTGCCTTCCTGGGAAGACTGAGTTACTTCCTGCAACCAAATCCAGTTCCTTAAAGTTATTTTCATAAACCAATATTTGCTGCGGCTTTAGGCTTTGTGTTAGTGTTATTGTGAAATACAGTATAACAGTATGTGACAAAATCATAAAGAGCCAAGCGTCATTAGGAGTCCAGAGCTAAAATGAAGGGGATTCTTCATTATAGTCATCAGAAGATTAATACTAATAAAACAAACTATGATTTCAGGATTGTGTCTACACAGTGTACACTTCTGCCACTCAGTCATATTTACCTTCATGGTCTCTTGTTGAAATACCTGCTTTCTGTAAATTGAGAAACATGATTAGTAAAGTTATTGAAGTTCCAAAGATAAAGGAAATATGTTGCTGAAATATGTTTTTGTTTCATATTTCATAATGCCATACCGGAAAAAGTGGTGGTTTTTGGAGCTTCCTAATGAATAAGGATGAAATATTAGTGCTGTGTTCAATATCTGAAACACATTCTTTACTTCAGTTACACCTCAATGTAATGGAGTGACCTACGCTTCTCTTGGCAGTGGTACCGGGAAGGATGACCGTCTGTCTTCTGCAGCCTTCTTCTCTGGCCTTTCAGCCAAACCTTGCAGAGATGAAGTTGGTGCTAGATTACAGCAAAAAGCAGAAGAAAATTACCTTGATGTCTATAGTATGTTGAAGACCTGTGAAAGGAATTTTCAGTTTTACTCAGTAAGCTGAAATACCAGTCAAAGTTGCCATCCTTTCAATTAAACCAAGAACCTGCTCTTTGGTACTATAGTGATAGTTGTAGAACGTTCAAACTAAAGATGGGCAATATGGCAATATAACATTATTTTGATGAATTATGTCATATTAGGCTTTTAGTAGCATATTGTGGGTCCTACTACTATTTTTCATCAAAAATAGGTTTATATGGTGCTCTGATGTGGAGTAAACCTTTCCCTATTGTCAGGACCTCTCAAGTTGAACTCCTGTATAGAGCATAAACAGGAGCATAAGTGGTTCAGAAAATGCTTCAATACAACACCAAAAAGGGCTCTTCTATTGTTATGCTGTCATTTTTGTAGCAATAAAAGAACCCTTCTTGATGCGATATAGAACCATACACAATTCATTCTCCATCAGTCTGAAGAACAGTTTCACCATGCAAAGAACCAAGCATGAAATGGTTCTATATAGAACTCATGGTGCTAAACAGAACCATTGCCTTTACCGAAGAATCCTTGAAGAACTTTTTTTTAAGTGCGTGCAAAAACCCACCACTCTTTATTTATTAAATTTTTAGTCAAAACAGCATATAAGTAGAGGTTTTTCATTTTTCAACTTCATAAAAAAAGCAGAAAACCTATGTTTAACAGAAAATTACACAGAAGCGTCAACAACTAAATCTAATAATACATTTTTCTTTTTTTGTGTGTTCACACTTTGGCTTTCTTATAGCTTTCATTCTTTTCAGGAGACTTGCTTTCAGCCTTTCGAAGAAATCTGCAGGGATATTTTTCCACACCTCAAAGTTCTTTGCATTTTCTGCTTCTCACCAACCAAGTAATCCCAAGCACATTGAGTGATGTTGAGGTGCTCAGTCCATTGTTCTGAGAACACCAGCAGCTTCTCTGTTGGATTTGCAAATTTTCTTCTTATTTTATCTATTTCCATTTCTCAGTAACAGCTTCTTGACAGCTACATCCTTTGACTCATAGTGTTGAGTTGTCTTCTCACAGTGGAATGATGGACAGAAACTCCTGTGGATTTTTTCAGAACTGATAAAATTCTCTTTCAAAGATCTCAAAGATCTTTCGCAATAATTTTTTTTTACATTCCTTATTCTTATGCAAGTGGATTATCTTATATCTAATTTTCTTCTGAAATATCTCCAGAAAATGAATAACCTGTACTTCATGGCTGCTTTGGAAATGAGATAAACCAAGGGTGGTCTCTGACTTTTGCACAGTACTGTACATTACATGAAATGTTGAATAAACATTTTTCTGTTCATTTTTTCTTGCCTTTTTTAATGTGGCACTACAGTTCTGCTGGTATTGTTCCAACTTTCATGGTATCATGTATCGCGAAAACATCTTCAGTGATATATTTTTGCCGAACTGCCCACCTCTATTTCAAATACAGTGTTTCAGCACATACTCACAGTCATCAGTATTGCACACTTCATAGTCATCATCGTCGTCTGGCTCCTGTGAAATCAGATAACATAGCAGGCCAATTACTGCAGTGTAACATGAATTTTGTATTCAAATCCTCATAAAGACTCCACACATGTACACATAAACACAAAGCCTCATTATAGGCAGACAGAATGATTTCCTTGTACATTTCCCTTTTTGGAATAACCAATAATGCTTACTGGGCAGGGAGCTGGCTTCTTAATATTCATTCTGCAAAGATAAAAGACAACAACAACAGCTGCATTAACAGATGTGGGAAGGTTACTTTCAAAACGCATACTAATGAAAACCTGATTAAAATTCCAGTCAGTAACATAAGCTATGCCATCCACTATTCTGTACACATGTCAGCTGGACATGCCTTTGGCTGACATTGTCATGTTGCTTGAAAATGTATTCAGCGTTGGGGGGGGTTATTTTCCTTTATCACTGAAAATAATTTATTAATTTAAAAACAAGACTGTCCATAATATGATTGATATTTTTAGCTTTATGCAATGAATCACAAGTACTTTCTTGTATTTTAAACCTCCAGTCAAAAGCTTAGACACACCAACTCATAGTTTTTCTTATTTTAGCCTAACGTTTTACTAATTTTAGAATACAAGGGAAGACATCAAACCATGAAAGAACATATATCACTGTCCTAACAAATCCATCTACCTCTAAAATGGCAACTTTACCGGAGAAGGTAAATATTTTTAACCTTAAATGTAAGTTAATGTAAAGAGGTATTAGTTTTAAGTCATTTTAAGTAATACTGGTCCATCCATTCATACAATGTGGGAGCTGCTGTGCTCAAATGATAAATACACTGATGATTCATTAAGTACACCTCCTTGAATCTACACTCACTGTTCGTTTTTATCAGCTTCACTTACCGTACAGGTGCACTTTGTAGTTCTACGATAACAGACTGTAGTCCATCAGTTTCTCTGTATACTTTGTTAGCCCACTTTTACCCTGTTCTTTAATGGTCAGGACCCCAACAGAGCAGTTAGTTAGTTGTTTGTGTGTTGTGCTGGTACGAGTGTCCATTCACTGTCCACTCTATTAGACACTCTCCACTCCACCTTGCAGATGTTAAATCAGAAGCAGTAGTTCATCTGTTGCACAGTTTTTGTTAGTCACCTTCTAGTCCTCTAGTCCACAGGACGCTGTTGGCTGGATATTTTTGGTTCGTGGATGATTCTCAGTCCAGCAGTGACACTGAGGTGTTTAAAAACTCCAGCAGCACTACTGTGTATGATCCACTCGTACCAACACAACACACACTAACACACCACCACCACGTCAGCGTCACTGCAATGCTGACAATGATATACCACCCAAATAATACCTGCTCTGTGGTGGTCCTGACCATTGAAGAACATGGGAAACGGGGGCTAACAAAGTATGCAGTATGCAGAGGGCTAATAAAGTATGCAGATGGACTACAATCAGTAATTACAGAACTACAAAGTGCTCCTATATGGTAAGTGGAGCTGATACAATGAAAAATGAGCGTAGATACAAGGAAGTGTACTTAATGTAGTGGCTGGTCAGCGTACATGGCACAATGTTTTGGAATTATACATAAAAATGCTTTTTTTTGCCTTGATATCAACTTCATACACTCTCTCAAGGAGCTTAATTAGGAGCTACTTGGATTCTCCTTAAACATTCCACACATTCTTAAACTGTCCGTCTTTCCGAAAACAGAAAGTAATTCATATTTTCATGATTTGAAATCCATTGTTTCTATATATTCAGGTAAGACAATTTAAGGAAATTGTCTGTAGTTCAAAATGTCTTTCAGATACTGGAAAATATACATTAAACCAAAACTTTTGTTGTTTGTTGTAGTTTGGTAGTAAATGTCAAGCTTCCTATACTGTATTAAAAAAAAACAATGCTTTTACATTTTACATCAGTTGTTTGCACTGTCTTTCAGTTTACCTCTTTAGGGAAGCATTATGTTTATGTCCAGTATAACATTGATGTTACATTTCATGTTGTCTGGACCAATCTAAATGCTCCAAAATGACTTGGAATAAAATCTCTTTACATGAACTTACATTAAAAGTTCAGGCAGTTTTTGTCTTCTCCTGTAATGTAACTGCAATGATTTTACTCATGTGCATTTAAGTGACATGAAAGTAACTGATTCATACATTGGGATCATGTCAATTCAAAATAGTGCTTTTTCAATGTGTTTGTTTATGAGCAATATTATTCAAACACTGTGTAACTATGGCCCACTGCAAGTGTAATACCTTGGACTGGGCTTAGGGGGCAGCCTTAGAGCAGGAGTTTGATGCTTTGTGCTGCACCTGTGGACCAGAAACAGGAAGCATTGAGAACAACCTGGAAAAAAGCCAATTTTAGTAGTTCCTGATATTTCAGGTATCAGATTACTAATTTGGAGTGTTTTTAGTAAATGACGTTATTCGGCAGGTGTCAAAGAAGTCAAATGAAACATTTCACACACTGCTGACTACACACGTCTCTGAGCACTTGAGTGGAGCTGATTACTCGAATATGACACTGGAGTGCTCTTACGTCAAGACAGCAATTTATCTGGCTTGATTTATTTACCACCACAATGACATGAGGAAGCTGAACTGGAGTGGAATCATAGACTCACCTACTGGTGCCTGGAGAATCCTCCTTTAAACAGAGAAATTAAGCTTTTCAAAGCACATATAAAAAAATATAGATATTTTACAGATTAGAGAAATGTGAGCTTAATGTTACTCAAACTAACATCTATGGATCACATAAGACAACATTTAAAACTCACCGCGTCCGGAACTTCATACACATCTGAAAACAATCAGAAAGGAATCAGTGATGGCGCAGTGTCTATTACACTGTGAAACATATACTGTGTTCCATAAGTAATTGGACAGTCACATTTTTTTTTTATTTTGGCTCCACATTTAATTAAGTGGCTTTGAAATAAAATTGTTCTCTTCTATTTCAATGGTAATTCAAGAGTATTTACATCTGTATTGGGTGAACCATATAGGAATTATAGCCTGTAGCCCTCTATTTCAGAGGACCAGAAGTAACTGGACAAATGAACATAAATGAAATCACTATGTTTTGTATTGCTTGAAGTCTGTGATCCACACACATTGCTAAACACTGGGCCTCTGCTCCTGGTTATGCTCTGCTAGACCTGCAATTCAGCCTTTTTCACTTCCTGCCTATCTGGGCAATTTTGGCCTTCATGCTTGTCTTTAGTAGGTGAAATGCATGGATAAATGGGGTTGGCTGGTAAAAAGCGAATATGGCCATTTTATTTACTTTCCAAAAGGACCAGTGAAACTGCACGTGTCTTCTGAGTTTTTACATGCTGTTTTGGTAAAATAGTGAAATAAATGGTAACAAAAATATAACGTAGTTATAAAAATATTAAGAAAAAAAAGATAAAATGGTATTTTGCCTTACTGCATCCTGCATGTACTTCTCTGCCCGTGAATGGATTAAAAAAAAGGCATCTTTTAAGCCAAAAGCGTATCACAAAACTACCGTAAAAGAATGTCTCAGACATCAGCAGCATATTTTATGTAATAACTTTCTGTGTCAGAAGCTTTTAGAGGTATTACACATTTCAGATGTCTGGTTCTTATCACCATCACTGTGAACAATTCTGACTTTGCAAGTTTCTCTAAACAGAGCATTCCACATCAAACCATTATGAATGACTTTGTTCACATCTTAACTATTTGTATAATTAATCTAGTCCAGTAAAATTCACAGACATATATAAAAAAACTAAAAAAATCATTTAGACTAAAATTGGATTATTGATATCAGCATACCTGGGCTGTGTGAACGCCTTGGGATGCCCAGGTGTTTTCCTTTGTTTCCATGAGGGTCTGTGGAGAGAAAAAGAAAATTAATCACAATGTACAGTGATTTGTTCTACTTTGTTTGAACATTCTACACATATCTTCTATAGTAGCTTATTTCTGTTTGTATTGTATTAGGGGTGAAACCAGGTTAATGCCATTTTAGGAGGAATGCCAAAACACAGGTACTTATCCACAGTAAGGCAGTAAAACCAGTGCAAATTCATAATCTAGAATTCTTCACCACCACATGACTTTTACTTCCATTAATATCAACAAGACACCAAATGCTGGAAAGTTTTGTTATTACCAGTCATACTCAGTACAGCTGAAATGGGAAATTGCATCATGTGTTTTGCTAATAATAGTGGAAAATCCACTGTTAGTAATCACATTATTTACACAATAATCCCTCATGCTGTTTTTATTTGTATTTAGGTTTGCTGCCTAAAAGAAGAGTGTCATGTGGTTGCCATTACTCATCCAACCATTCTGTAAATTCTGTGAACAGTAGATAGGTCTATGGAGCTCATAGGGAATAAGGACGTGCTTTATTTTTGTCGACTTCATCAGTGTTTGTGTCACTGTTTCTGGTGGAAATGATAAAGCATAGTGCAGATGTAACATTTTTAAAGTGGTCTTGCAAGATGTCAGCTGTTTATCTGCAGGACCTTTCTCAGAAGGATCAATGTAATTATCCTCATCTGTGCCATCCTCTGGATCAATGTAGTCTTCCTGCAAAGAAAAGAATATGATATCAGATTTAGAGAAGTATTGGGCTAGCAGGTTACAGCACAGGTCTGTATTGAATAATTTTATCCAGGCCAGATTTAAACTACCTCCTATGGCACAATTCAGTTGGGCTGACATACTTCCCAAAAGATAAAAATGCACCAGATATGAACTAAATACACTTACATCATCCCTTGCTGCTTGATTTCGCTTCTCTGAAAATGGAGGTTTGGCTGGCAGGAGGGGTTTGATCCGTTTTGTTTGTGTCGGCCGACCAGGACATTTGTCTTGAATAGGGAAGTAATACCAGAGACAGGAAGTCAGTTTTTGCACACTGCATATTATTCTAACCCACACTGCGGTGTTAAAAATCCTAGTTTTATTTCTGCAGAATGGATTGACCCCAGCTTGCACCACCTGACGTGTCTGACCATATGGTATTTTCCATCTGCACATTTTGGGGATGTTTGCAAGGCAGTAGCCATTAAATAAACAGAAATTTGACACCATACGGCTGAATGCATACCAAATTATATGACAAACAACTTAGACAGCGTTAGAGCAGAAACAATACAATACAGTATGACTGAATCATGAATAAGAATTCAAAGAGAAAACAGATTTGCCGTACAGATTTTTCTGTATGGTTTGTGGTCATTGTTTTGTTTTTGCATCAGGTTTATTAATCAAATATGCATCTGCACTTTTACCAGCTTAATATACTGTTTAATTGATACATTTAGACTCTGTGGAAGAGAGACTTTCCCCATGCCTACTCACTGACTGATAAATGAATAGAATAAGGCTTTCTTGACATTTTTTGATTGTGTTTCTTGTAAAGAAGCAATTCTATTAACCCAACTCCATCCTCAGGGTCCCCCAGATGGTCCACATTTTTGCTCCAACTCAACTCACAACGCACTGGAATGTGTGGTCATTCTGGGGGACCCTAAGGACTAGGTTGGGAACCACTGTCATAAACTCTAACTCTAACTTAAATTCCTCACTCTCATAACCACATAGATTGATATTAAGCACTAATTGGGTTAATGTGGATGATGTTTGACTGGCCAATCCACAGGACAAAGTATCTGTGTAATTTCTCCAGATGACCACAGACAGTCCAAATGATCAAGGTTCAGGTCAAGGTTCATGGAGTTGAAACAGTTTATAAAATTATTAAATTTAAAGTATTCTGAGTACTTTCCATTCATAATACATTTACTTCTATTCAAGCACACTATGTTTCCAAAATTATCCAGACAGCCCACCTAAGTAGTGACATTGGCTATGTTAAGGTGCACCAATTGCTGACACAGGTGTTCATTTGGGCACCCACAGCTTGTATAATCATCACAGAAAAGCAATAACAAGCCTATATGTCAGGAGTTGGCTAGACGGGTATAAAGCCCCCCAGCAGTAGGCCGTGGAACAGTTCTCTGGAGTTCTTTTGAACAAACACTGGATAAGTCTTTTGCATATGTAGTGAATATTTCTGAGGAAAATAAAATTCTTTTTGCTCAGTTATGTTGTAGTCCTTCATATATGAATTCCTTCATTGTGTTTAATTTTAATATCTTACATTGGAGACAGCATCTGTATAGCTTTACGATTGGTCATACATCTGACCTTTGAGCTTTAGTATTTTAGTTTAGACGAAAGAATTCCGAAAGAGAGAAAAGTAGTGCCTAATAAACTTTCCCATACTGACAGATGCTAGATGTTCTAAGCAGTTCTGTCACAGTTCTTTAAGTGTCTCAGGTACTGAGTAGTTTTATGACTGGATATTTTTGTAATTCTACTCGATTTCTATTTCTTTAAAAGTACTTTTACTTGAGTTGTTATTTCATAAAAGTTACAATACTTTTGTTTGAATATGGATTCATCTCAATTCACATTTCATCATTGTCTTCAAGTTGTGGTCTGTTCAGAGAGAGGCACAGAGAGCTGGATGGATTTAGATGCTGATAATTGTGTGATGGCGCTTACCCAGGTATTCTCCTACAGGGTAGCTGTTGGATGGGGTAGGAGTGAAGACTCTTTCGCATGGGGGAGGCTCATAGTTGTCATCATGTTCACCCTGTGGGTCTTCATACACATCACTATCCTGCAAAGAGCATCAGTCCATAAATCTGTATACCGCTCTCTATTTATTCTCCAAATATCCATATAATAAGGCTGATTGTTTTTATTCCTTCGACTGCACTATATTGTTTACTACAGAAGAAAGAGTGAACAAAGACATGTTTAACTCACAAACTCTGACCCAGACCACTCAGCGTCATGGTTATCACCTAAAATGGAAGAGAAAATGGACCGTATTGATTGTGTACTGCTCTTTAGAACATTTTGCTTCTTTTTTTCTTGAACTACAGCACAGCCACTTCACAAAAAAGGTAAAATGAAAAAAGTCACAAATAACTTGCCAGGATAGTCTCTTGCAGGCACTTTCGGAGGTCCTTTGTTTTTTATCCTGAAATAGAGTTGACATGCGTGGTCTATTTAGAGGTAGATATCTCTTTATAGGTGCACCTGATAAGCTGTGATATCCTGTGTGAATATTTGTGAGTGATAATGCATCTCCATGGTTAGAAATCATATTTGCACTTCGCTCTATAACTTCTCATAAAGATAAGAATATTATATTAATGATGCTTAGATCTGGGGAGAGGGTAGATCGTAGAAGGCACTTAATTTCATCACTATGTTCCTGAAACCCTGCTTGAATTTGTTTAGACGTGTGCCAGATTCATAAAACACACCACCAGATTTAAGGTTAAGGACAAGAAACACTGCAGCAACACATTTTCTTATTCAAAAACTGAGATTATCAGCACACTTTCCCATCTTTTGCAAATGCCATAGGCATTCATTACAAAACATTGTCCCCAAAGATAACACCTGTAGTGCGACAATGAATTTCATTTAAAAAAAAGGTGCCACAAAGGATTCTATAACACTCTTAACACCTTAACGTTCTTACCATTCTGTGGACATTCTATAAACCTAAAAGAGTTCTTCATACTCACACATTTCATTTACCAAAAGAGTTCTCTAAATTCCAATCCACTGAAAGATTTTTTAGGGAACCAAAAGTGTTTTTTCTATGGAATTGCTCAGAAAAACCATCTGGCACATAACAGTGCACCACTTACATGCGCAAACCCACTTCTTTGCTTTGATCTATGTTGGTAAAATGGCATGGCAAACACCATAACTGCAATTGTAGGAGTACATGAACAGGAAGGTGACTTTACACTGGTCAAAATGTTAAATGACGATGATTAAGTTGTGGTCATTTTCGTGGGTGTTGTTTTGTGGCATTTTTTTTTTTTGTCTAACTGTGTCACTGAACTTATGACCATTGTTCTTCTTTTTCCATGAAGTTAATCCATGTTTGTTATAAACAGTAATGATATTTGAAACTTTACACATTGACACATGACTCAGTTTTAGTGGTTTTGTGACTGATGTAGCTGCAATTGACGTACAGACCTGTAAATACGTTCAGAGTAACTGTTGCAAGGTTAGATATCATTCGAAATTATTAATCGTGTCTAAATTTAGGTATTTTGACAAACACTGTACACAAAGTACACTGCAATTTCTTCTTCTTCTTCTTCTTCTTCTTATTATTATTATTATTATGGGAATCAGTTTTTTGCCAGCGTTCTGTTAAAGCTGTCCAGCAGTTGCTACAAACGAACAAAGGTCAATTCAGTTACCAACTGTGTCACCTTATTGATATATATAGATATAGTTAGTATGTCAACATGCTGATGTCAGACATTATTTATAGCTATAGATATATGCTGCCGTTTGATGATTACATTTGCGTTTGTGTTGTACAGCACTGTACAAAAGTCACTTTTCATTAATGTGGAGGGAGAGACCACCCTTCATTTCATTTCCAGTCTACTGGAAATTGAGTTATTCATTTTATTAATCATTTTTCAGGAGATAATTCTGAAGAGATTACATAAAGGATAATCCACTTACATAAGGAAAGAAAAAAGTTGAAGGAAAATAATGAAGGAAAAAAACAAGAGTTTCCAAAACTGGAGTGTCAAAAATGATTAAAAGCTATAGTGAAAATAGGACTAACAACCACACAAGACCTGGTAGACCACCAAAACTCTCCACCAGATAAACAGCACTGAAAGCTGAGAGGGAGGAGAAAATCAAGCTCCACTCTTCCTTCAGATCTGAAAAAATCCACAGGTGTTTATGTTCATCCTTCCACTATGAGAAGATATAACTCAACACTATGGGTGTGAAAGTGTGTAGCTGTTAGAAAGCCTCACTGAGAAACGGAAATAGACAAAAAAGAAAAAAAATGAGCAAATTAAACAAGAAAGCTACTGGTGTTCTGAAAACAATCGATTGATCACCTCAGAGTGCAGACCTCAACATCACTGACACTGGGAGTACTTGGATCGTGATGAACCAACTTCTAAGACTGAACTTTAATTAAAAGCAAGTCTCCTGATAATAAAGCTGCAATAAAGGCAAAGGTTGGGCACACAAAATACTGACACATTTAATATCATATTCAGTTGTTGAAGCTTCTGTTAAATGTTTAATATGTTTTCTGTTTTTGTTTCTGATGCTGAAAACTGTACCTAATGTACATTTTTGACTGGAAAGTGAATAAATGAAGGGTGATCACTTTTGCACAGCTCAGCTATTTTAAGATAAAGCCCTGTATATATTTTGTGTTTTTTTTAATTGGACTTTTGTATATAAGCCTGGTCAACCTCCTTTGGTCTCTTTTGTGAACAACCTCTTTCTGTTTCTGACCACAGAGAAGGCCTGAACTGGACACTTTTAAATACTGGATGTGCTACCATTTGCATAGCTAAACCACATCTGAGTGTAGACTCAGACATTAATAGGTGGACCTTCTTTAATAATGATCAGATGCACTATATCACATACCTTAGCTTTAGAACTATCAGCATCTCTTTATAAATACCTTTGGGCATGCCTGTACATGAACTGTGGTCAGAAACATTAATGTGTGCTAGAGATTGCTAAAGATTAACATGACTTGTAAGAATAAAAAATGTTATTACATCGGCAATTACATTATTACATTATTGAGATCTCTACTAAAACTTCAGGAGACATATTTAAGCAGCAGGAGATTTAAAAAAAAGTCGCATTTGTCTTTCTTCTGGTTTCAATGAGATCAGATAAAAGAAAAATCTATTACTACTTTACTTTATTTGACTTCTCTTTCCCGTGGATGCAGGTTAGTCAATGTCTGAAGTCAGTACAACTTGTCCTATACTATGTGCATTAAAACTCACATTCAGCCAAACCCAGTATAGCAGCCTGTTTGGTGAACCTCTAAGCAGAGTTGGGCAGAATACTTTGTAAAAAGTAGTGATGGTCGAATACTGAATACGCTGTCCTAAATCTATTCAGTAACATATTCCATAACAATACATAAAAACATATTCAGAATACCTGTAGAATACCTTTAGAATACATCTTGATATGGCAGATGAGAAAAGCTGTGCTATTTTATGTAATTCACACTGTTCCTCAATGTTACTGGTTGACAGTTTTCTTCACATATTTCTTCAGTTAATATGTTTCATGAAAAATTCAGTTATTTTAATGATGACGCAAAATTCTCTTATTATTTTGGCTCTCATCACCCGTTTCGGTCCATTGCTGCTCCCATAATTCCGCTGCTTTCTCATGAACTAAGCAAACAATTCGCCATATCCCAATAACATAATCTTGCAAATTTCACTATAAAGTGGGCAGCTACGTGATTTTCAGTTAATAACATGTATGCATCTTGCCATGAAATGCTTGTATGAGCCCAGTACAACACAGATGCTAAGCTTATCACTTGTGAACATGTGCACTACAGGAGACTGTTCAGTTCAATCATCTCTCAAAAGAGTTTAGTTACACTAAAATTAATAACAGATCATAACATTGATTTATCAGTCTGCTCAGGCTTTAGCAGAGCTCAGTAACACTGAGATTAATAACTGACCATTACACTGATTTATCAGTCTACTCAGGCTTCAGCAGGAACTCAAGTGTTTGTAAAGAGGCCATTTGTTGAGGTTCTTAGGGCACTTCTTTACACAGCATGCTTTGATTTTAAAATAATTATTGAACAAGCATTAATGGTGTTTCATTAAAAATTGCATTAAGCCACCATAGCAGCTTGAAAGCATGGTGATGGGAAATTTTGCAGAATATTTCAGACACCAAAATAAAAGAGGAACAGAGTCTGGGAGAGTGGGGGAGGAAACAGTTACAAACTATGAGATATTTGCTTTCAAATCCTGGTGAAGCTTCTTTTCTGTCAAGTCAAGCCTTTTGGCAGCAGCACCTGGCCTCTCTTAAAGGCATACTGTACAATGTCTGTCGGCTCATATTTCTATTTCATTGCAGAATAAGCCTAGATGATCAATTTCCTAAGTGCTGTTCCTTTTGAAATACCTTCAAAATTAAGGAATTCAGGTCAGCCATATAAAGCCATATAAAGACATGCCTCATGAAAATCTCTGTACTCAGTGGTAATGTCATAAAAACCCTGTCTTCACAACGAGTATTGTGTACTTTAACAAGCAGATCTAAACTAATTAGGAGCACACAGCACTTAAATTATAATCAAGGGTGGAAAATCACGCACCAGAACCTCATTCTGGGAGTAAAAGTGAGGATGCTCTGGTGTTCAGGCTCAGATTTAGAAAATCTAGGAAACTATTTTTAGGGAAAACCATGTACAGTTGTTTTACTTTAATCTAAAGTGTGCAAATGAAACAAAATGTCTGCTGAACACACCTTAAGTTCAGCCTGCAGCCCATCCAGCCAATGGAGAGTCACGCTGCAGCAGGGTCCACCCACCCAGTCTCCATGGTAAAGACTTATTTAACGCTAACTTAGCGTGTTAGGTAATCCTATTCAAATGTGTGGTAATGACTGATGCTGAACTAACTAGCCTTCTATCAACCGTTCATCGCGAGGTGGGCAGGTTTCCAAATATAAACCTTTCTAAGATAAAAGTAACTGGACACTGGATGTCTTTGAAAGCCTAAATTACATCATGAAAGAGGTAGGTTAGTATTTCAGTGGAAATACGGGTTGTTTTACAACAGTGGGTGTTTTGCTGGCTTTTTGTAGTATCTGCTTTGTTGAAAAGCTTGTTTGGAATCCTTTCAGTGAAAGTACCATTACCTTTCAGGAGATGTTTTTTATATGGAGCTGTTACGTTCATTTTTAGAAAAAACTTAGTTTCTGAACCTATTCAGTGACGTGTTTAAGCGTTCCAAAAAACAGATTTTGTCACCTTTTTCTGACTGTTATTAATACATTTTCCTGCTCTCCACAGAAATGGTATTATCTGCATATGAGAAAAATAAATATGTTTAGGGACTGAGGTTCGACTGAAGTTGAAATGAAACCAAATGAAATCAAAGCATTAATGATTATAAGCTATGTAAAGTAAATTCCCAAGCTAAATCGAGACCTAGATTTTTATAAGCATTTTCGATTTAAAAAAAAAAAGGTTCCCCAGTAAAACCTGGTCATTATTTCCACCACTGATTAGCATATTTCAGTATTTACCCCACCCCTGAATAGTTAAACTGAAGAGGATCTGTTTTTCCCCATCAAGAGTTTCCATTTCAGTTGCTCAAAGCAAGCAACAGAAGTGTACTGTACTGTACATGCCATTGACAGAAGCAGTCACCACAGTATGCAATCAAAATATGACATTATCCTCTTACAACACTAGACTCAACATTTCTATTAATAATTCTTACCAAATTATTTCTAAATGATCATCTTTCTCTCAAATACTTTTAAGCCTTTAATACTTTTTCATCCCTCAAAAGAGTTTAGTTACATTAAAATTAATAACTGATCATTACATTGGTTTATCAGTCTACTCAGGCCTTAGCAGAGCTCAGTAACACTGGGATATACTTTTACTACGACAGAATGACTTCACTGGATTTTATCTGAATAAAAAGCAGTGAACATTAAACCATGTTCTGGCCCTAACTTTAATTTTTCATACTACTTGGCTCGATTAAGTTCCTGTGAAGTTAGTATTGTGAAGCTGGCCACGTGACTGGATATCATCACTGTCCGGACAAAACCTTCAAACTGGAACTTTTCAGAAAATAAAACAATGTGCATAACTTTTAATGGAAGTTAAGGTCACATTACTTTCTTCTGAGTCTTTTTTTTGCATTGGTCTGCTTGTCATGAATGTTCACGAAACGTAAAAAGGCAACTGCTGTTTTCAAATTTCAAATAAATAAAAATAAATAAAAACAGCAATAAAAATATGACTAAATGACATACACACCACAGACATTGAATCAGAGGGTTAAAGTGAATGAAATGGATGCTTTATGAACAGATCAGTCAGACGTTGAGCTGAAGCAGTGCTCGGACTGTGTCATACCTGTCCAATGTGCTGCGTCCAGTTTTGAGAATATTAGCCGTCTGTTCATTCTGAAACCTGAAGCATAACCGAAAAGAGTGTCATTATTATTACGATAATGTTCAGGTTACAATATAGATTTAGCTTTTTTTTATTCTCTCCTAGTTTAGCAGATCTCACCCCTACTACCATGGGAAAAAGTTGCATGTAATAATACACAGCGTGACACTGAAGTAACTGAATTAGTCCTTTTATTCCCACAAAGCTGAAAAGTACATTTTGATCTGTCAGAGCAGATGTACCTTGTGATTAAACAACCAAATTGTTTTGAGCATATTAGCCCTGAGCATAAAACTCTTCAGTGCACACGCACATACGCATACACGAATGCATGCATATACATATGCAAGCTCCCCTTTATATGAGGTTTCTGTCATATACAGCATGGCTGAACGCTCTGCTGCATCTCTGTGTGTGTGCTCATGGTTCCTGTTGGGACTGGTCTGAGAGAGGAACTGAGAGACACATCCGTACACAGATGTTTCCCTCCCTTTTTTAGCACTTTACCTACATCTTTCTATTCATCTCACTCATTGTCTTTAGAAATGTGATATCGGTCTTTCCTTTCAATAACCAATTGATTCCTCATTATCTTTTTCCTTCACTGCTTCTATCAAATATGGACATACACCAGATGTAAAATATTATGCAGACACCCCTTCCAATTAGTGAATTATGTTAAGGTGCCCCCATTGCTGACACAGGCTATCGGTTGCACATAGACAGCTCATACAGTCTCCATAGAAAAGCACTGTCAATAGAATGGCATGCTCTGGAACAGCTGCACATGAGCCTAAAATCACCATGCACAATGCCAAGTGTCAGTGAGAGGGGTTTAAAGGCCACCAGCTGTGGAGCGATGGAATTGTGATCTCTGGAGGGATGGAGCTGGATCCAATACCTTCAGGATGACCTGAAGTGGCGTTTGTGATCCAGAACTAGTCACCCAACATCAGCACCTGACTTCACTAAAGCTTTTGTGGCTGAAAGCAATCAAATCCTCTACACCAATGTTCCAACAGCTAGTCTAAAGGCTTCTTTCGCTGTTACTGCAGCAAGGCAGGGACAAACCCCTTATTAATACCCAGGAGAAATACTGGACGAACTTTAGGACACATAGTATGTATCGAATCTCTATTAGGGTCCTGAGTGCTAAAACCCTCTAAGTGTTCTCTCTGTTGTTGGGAGATTGCAAGTTCAATCCTCAGTGATGTCGTAGCCATTACTGACCAGGAGTCCAAGAGAGCATAATTAGCCTCATGCTCTCTGGGTGGGGATGGTCCTCCCTCTTCCCCTGTGATATATGGGTGCTTGTTAGGACTGGCTTAATGTGGGAAAGCACAGGCTAGCCTGCCTATTCAGTTTGTTAGCACTGTGTGATGGGGGATACCTAACTAGTGGGTGGAATTGGCAATGTCTAATTTGGGGAAAAAGGGGTAAAAGAAATCAGATGTTGCATATTGTCGCTGTCCAAAAATAAATAAATAAATAAATAGATAAATAAAAAACATGTTCCTGACTTTTCATGCAAGTCAACGCAAAGAAGTGTTTTTCTAAGTTATTCTGGAGCATTTATGTTGGTCTGTTCATCATGAAAACTTGTAAAGGACACCCAATGTAAAGGACAGCTGCCATTTTTTTTGGACAGCGACGATATGTGAATGCATGCTCTTTTGATAACCCCTTAAAATCCCAGGCCTACTACATACTAAGGCTTATTATTCAGTAACTATGGGGTTTTCAGTACAAACTGGCAGAGCTGGTTATAGATATGTGTAATAAAACTTGGGGCCTGCCAGCAGACCATGGCCATTTAATGCATTAAACATCTGCAAACCTACCTTTTCAATCTGTTGAAAATGCTGTCGTCATTCTTTTTGATATCCTGGACCATTTTTTGAAGCTGCCTGAAATACAAATAAAAACAGAACCAGGCCATATCTCATATGAAATATTAAACTTTTATGGACATTACAACACGATTAGAGACTTTTCACATGGGCAATGACCTGGTATGTCAGTTTATGGTAAATAAAGTTGATATGATGTTGAAAACATGAAAAGTTAAAATCACAAATGTAAAAAAAAAAAAGCACATTCATATGTATGCATGAATTTGGCCATATGCTTACAATTTCTTTTTCCCAACATTGATCACATATGGATCATTATTACACCGCATTCAATACTGAACCGATCTGCTAAGTGAGACTGTAGTCTGCTGTTACTTTCACCTGTGCTGCAGTTTCCTGAGCCTCAGTGCTCAGACCCCTACTTAGCAGCTTTACATTGGACTAACATTAACATTAACAGACTAACGTTAGCATGTGAGGCAACCTCTTTCCTCATGATTCTGTGTTTGTTACCCGCAGAACTGACTCATAGCTCCTAAGTGTCTGAAGGCCTCTCAGCTTCACGCAGTGTGAAGTAACTGGTGTGTGTGCGTGTGTGTTGGGTGTGGGTGTGGGTGTGTGGGAGAGGGTGTGTAGGAGACTGAGTGAGTGTACTAAGACGTATAATTAAGATCATAAAGTTTGTTTAGTCTGCTATATTCTCTGCACACACTCTCTACAGTGTAAGTGATGATTCGGCTAGAAAAAAAATGACCTCAAAATATATCAAAACTGACCTCATCTGCTTTTCAAAGGAGCATATTTTAACAATAGGACCTGAAACAGGCTCATTGGCTGCATTACAGATTAACAGTGAGATACAAAGCACTGGTAACACCTCTGAAACTCCTATCACAAAGGAAATTCAGCCAGCTGAAGTTGCTCAACGTGTGAATGTGCTAAATTTAATTCAGGGTGAGAGCTGTGAAGTTTCTGTTGACCAGTATCTCCAAAACCTTCTCCCATAACTCACTATACAAAAAATAAACCTACAAAAAATAATTTAGAACAGACATTGATCAAATTAGTCCTCATTATGTGCACGGCTTAAATGTTGTTTGAACTGGAAAGCGGTTGAAAATCCCAGATCCATCTGTCCCTCAATAAACACCGTAACTTTATGTACATACTGACAGTCTTAAATGTGGTCATATATCACACTAACAGTACAGAGTGGCTGAAAAAGAAAGCCAACTAGCTGAAAAACAGTAAGCTTTTCTTACCGAAGCTTCTCACTGGCAGGAGCAGTAATCTTGCTGAGTGTCTCCATGCTGTGCGACGGAGTGAGGACGAGTGTGTGTGAGTGTGTGTGTGTGAGCTCTCCCTTAAAGAGCGACTTGGCAAATGGCCAGTGGTTAGACACATGACATGGTTCCTTTCCTTCTTTTTCTTTCTTTTATAGGCCACACCCTGATTTATTATAACAATAATAATGATACTAACAATAATAATAATAACTATACTAGTCAATAATGTAAAGATTAACTGCATTTATTACAAGTCATTTATAACAATGAATTACTGAATGCATTTAGAGTATGTCAGAGACACGAACATTAAAAAAAGTAAATAATAATTACACTCTTAAAAAAGATGGTTCTTCAAGGGTTCTTTAATAAAGGGAACGGTTCTGTTTAGCACCAAAAAGTTCTATTGTTTCTATTTAACTTCTGACTTTTAAAGCACCAGTAGAGTCCACTAGAGTGAAATGCATATTTAACATAAATTTCATATACTTTTTAAACATCAGAATGTTGGTAAGAGAGGTGGTATTGGTTACTGTTTAGGCAGAATAAACTCACGTAATGTGTATACTACCAATCAAAAGCTTGGAATAGTGGTTCAAAAGTTTAAAATCAATGTTTTCAATAATATAAACCTAATTTTGCAGTGTATAATTCTAATATTTTAGGTCTGTACAATGTCACAGCTCTCAAATGATTCATAGGACGCTAGGAAGCTGTAAAAAAAAATGTTAGATGTGTCCAGAATTATGAATGAACTGTAGATGCTGAGAAATGACTGAGAAAGCTGTATATCATTGAGAATGAAATTAAAATAGAATGAGTGATAGTTAGAATCTGATTATAAAAGTGGAGCTCAAATCTTAAGGCTCAAATCTTAAGACGTGAATAAATCTTGTTCACAGAATTAACATGTTGAATAAAACAACTAACATGTAATGTGGAGAATATTTAAATACATTCCGTATTAAATTACATCACTTTAGTAACATTTAATATATATAATATATAAAATAGCAATGAAATGAGATTCTGAACTTTTGAACAGTAGTGAAAGTTCTGCAAGGCCAAGTTTGTTTATTGTTCTTTAAAAAACCTTATGTGAGGAGCAATGTGTCGAACCTCTACAGAGGCAACAGCTATTGAAACTGACCAGCTATTTTTAGAGCCTGATGACCGACTGGGTTTTCACAATAGACCTCATGGCTTAGAGAAGAGGAAGAAATTGCATCCACTTTTAACATGAGGAAATCAATCTACTGTCTGAGGTACAACATTGTGATGTTAAAAGGAATGAATGCAAATGAACAGCTTTGCATGAAAACCTAAATTATGGTAAAATTAGTAGCTGGTAGTCTACATCCCAATTACTAATATGTTTTGGGGTATTTTTTGGGTTTTTTTGTGGGGGGTGGGGGGGGGGTTGTTTTGGCATGTTTTGTGACTGTTCCTACCAGAGAATGAGCTAAACTCAATCCTATCAATCTTTAAAACCAGGTGCAGACCGAAAACATTTCCTGCTACTGCTCCATATAGCTAGCTAACCAGCACATGATCTTTTATAAACCATAATAAAACCAGCAGAAAAAATGTCAAAAATCCATGCAACCTAGCTACCGATGTCACCTTTGTATGTAATTTTAGTACTCTAGAACATATGTGTAAGCAAATGAGAAGATATGTGCTCAACACTTTGTGGTCATTTCTACAGATTCAGATTGAGCTCTACCACCAGGCTTAGTCCTTACACTTTACATCTGGTATGTATTTGCATTAATAACAGTTTTTTTATGACAGTTAGTTCGACACTGGTGTATAGGAACATGCTAAGATTTTTAAAATCTAGATCTTAAATATGTTGACGTATTTGATCTACTGTCTGTTTGCTGAGAGGGATCCCCTCACTACCGTAAGCATGTACAGCAATGTAAATATTATTTCACTCAGACACTTCTTATGGCTGTTATCAGCTTCTTCCTTTTTTCATTTTTTAAGTCCATTTATAGCCAACTGCTGGCAACTGATGTGTTTTACACATATAACACCACGTAAACTGGACATTTACACCACCTCCTTGTTTCTACACCCATTGTCGATTTTATCAACTCCACTTACCATGTATGAGCACTTTGCAGTTCTACAATTACAGACTGTAGTCCATCTGTTTCTCTGCATGCTTTGTAAGCCCCCTTTAACCCTGTTCTTCAATGGTAAGGACCCCCACAGGACCACCACAGAGCAGGTATTATTTGGGTGGTGGGTCAGCACTGCAGTGACACTGACCTGGTGGTGGTGTGTTAGTGTGTGTTGCGCTGGTCTGAGTGGATCAGACTCAGCGGTGCTGCTGGAGTTTTTAAACACCTCAGTGTCACTGCTGGACTGAGAATAGTCCAGTCCACCAACTAAAAACATCTGGCCAACAGCGTCCTGTGACCACTGATGAAGGACCAGAGGATGACTAGCACAAACTGTTCAGCAACAGATGAGCTTCTGTCTCTTTAGACTTTCCATCTACAAGGTGGACCAACAAGGTACGTGTGTCCAATAGAGTGGACAGTGAGTGGACATAGTGTTTAAAAACTCCAGCAGCACTGCTGTGTCTGATCCACTCTGCTAGTGCGTATGTGTGTGTTTCAGTCAGAGCCTATTATGCTGTAGTACATGTAGCAACTTTTTTAAAACAATATTTTCCACCAGCATGGGAAAGTCCCTGGAGGGACAAGGGGCTCTAACATACACACATGCACGCACATGTTCAGTTCTGAACAGGCTCATGTAAATACTTCCGATTCCCCTTTAGTTCAAAAAGTTAAATGCAAGAGGAACTTGGTGTGTGAGCTCATAGGTGGGTATCCTAAACCCTTACTTAAGTAAAATCATTTTCACTGAAGTGAAATAAAGAGTAGTGGGTCAAAACTGCTTAAGTGGCAAGTTTCATAGAGAACTACAGTGCAACTTCTTACTACATCCGGTACGTATCATCAAAAGAGCTGAAGTTCGTTAGGCCCAAGTCTCCTCTTTTTTAGGCCCACTTGGTCTAAAATAAAGCGCTAAAATTCTAAAGTCAGAGGTGTGACCAATCACAAAGCAGCACAGATGCCATCACTAATGTAACATAATGAAATCAAACATGCAAAAAAGTAAATAGTAACTAAATTTGAATTATGTAATTTAACTAGGTAACTGAGTAAGAAGTGGTTTACTTTTCTCACAAATAGATAGTACTGCGCAAAAGTCAGAGATCACCCTTCATTTACTTAATATCTAATGAAAATGGTTATTCGTTTGTGTGAGGAAAAAAAAGCAGAAGACACATATTTAACAGAAAAGTACACAAAACAACTAAACAAATAAATATCATTTCAACATTTTTTTAGTATTCAGTGTTTTCACACAGCCTGTTTGACAGCTTCCATTCGTTTTCAGGAGACTTGCTTTCAGAATCTTTGGAAGAACTCTACACGGATATTTTCCCCTCCTCCAAAGTTCAGTCTTAGAAGTTGGTTGCATTTTCTGCTTTTCATGAACGAAGTTATCCTGAACTCATGAGGCCTGGGCTCTGGGGTGGTCAGTCCATTGTTCTGAGAACACCAGCAGCTTCTTTGTTTGATTTGAACATTTTCTTTTCTCAGCAAGGGCTTCTTGAGAGCAACACATCTTTTCAGACTTATAGCGTTGAGTTCTCACAGTAGAAGGATGGATTGAAACCACTGTACATTTTTCCAGCTCTGAAGCATGAATAGAGCTTGATTTTCTTTTCTTCCTCAAAGATGAAAGCTTTAAATACTGTTTATCTGATGGTGACAGTTTTGATGGTCTACGAGGTCTTCTATGGTTGTTAGGCGTCCCATTTTCTCACAACTTTTAATAATTTTTTGATCTCCATTTTTGGAAACTCCTGTTTTTCATGTATTTTCCTTTGACTCTCTACCTCCTTATTAAAGTGGATTACCTTATATCTAATCTCTTCAGAAGATTCAGTAGATAGTATTATTCAGGTGATCTTGTTTCTAATCCTCAAAAATATCTCCTGGAAAATTAATAACTTGTACTTACTGTTTTGACTGGAAATAAAATAAATAAAGGGTGGCCTCTGACTTTTGCACAGTACTGTACTTCAGTAAGGGTAAATGTTTTATGGTTTGTGTGATATTGAAGTCTTTCTATTTATTCATTTGTGTATATCCAGTTAATAGCAAAGAGAAAAGAGGGAAAAGTATCTTACGGTCGATGGATGAGACTGAACTTGTTCAAGTCTGTATCAGAGAGGCTCTGTGGAAACAAGAAGGAGTGAGATTAACGAGAGAAGACAGAAATCTCTCAAACATCTTTCAGTCTAGCCCTGCTTACCTTTCACACTACATTATAAGACTGTTCATAACTATATCTACTTCATAACTGCTCTTTTCCTGACTTTCTTGTCAATTCAGTCAAAGTCATAGTCAACTTTATTGTCATTACTTCTGACCACAGCCATCTTTGGACTCTACACCTGTGAACTCACTTTGGATTTGGTCGTGTGTGGTTCACTACAGTGCTCAATGTCATCGTCAGTGATGTGACCATATAAAAAGCAGTGATAAGAGGGGACTTCAGCTTGACTTACTTCCATGGTTGATATTTACACCAAAATCTACATATTTGCAAATGAATCATGCATTATGTGCACTAGAAGACATTCTTCATTTGTCTGTCTGGCTCCTCCCATTTCGTTCAAGATGCACATTTGTTTCCAATAAACTTAGGGTAATTCCCCTCTACACCACAGATGAATGTCAGAATTAGACAGCCTCAAAGCTCTGAGGACTGTAAAGTCTGGAGAAGACACACAGATTAACAATAAGCCACAAACAACACTATACAATGAACTATATGACCTATAGAGCCTAAACAGTAAACAATGGACAACAGAGTGGAGGAAAATTAAATAATAAAGCAATCAGCCAATGAGGCCACGTGTTATTGCGATTTTATCACAGGGAAGGGAGTTGTAGGCACTTATGTATTATGCACTTGTATTTCATTTTCCTCCATTTTTATAAAAGGGTGTTCAACATAAAATATAATCACACTTTTTAGAAAGTAATTTAAGTTGTAATTGATAATAATCGACATAAACAAGTATTTCACCAAGAAATGTAGATCTATTAGCGTATGATAGCCCTGCCAAGCAACCATGGACCACTGAATAAGGAGAAGAATGTTCAGTCGCCCATCACTGTACAATGCGGTCATTTCTTGTACTTTTTGTCGTATAACAATGAACATGTGATAACATAGCACTGTTTAATGCAGAACAAAAGATGCTATACAAGTACTTTTTAATCATTGATTTTCCACCTGAATTTCTGAATCTGAAATGGCTGCCTGCTCCCTATAGTGCACTACGTAGGAATTTAAATACTGGATCCTGCACCCCAACGGTGCAAAATATAGCTAAGAAATGGTCATTTGGGACTCAGGTACATTCGAACTGGATGAATAACACACTATTTGGCTGTAGAGGCTAGAATTTCTGAAGTTTCGTAGCTAGCTAACACACTAGCTATTTAGGAAGTACAGAGCCGTTTGGGATACAGCCTGGGTTTGATGCTACTTCTGACTGAAACACGACATTTTAAGAGTGTAATCCATTCAAGTGACATTTTTAGACTTTTATACCGCAGTTTTACATCGACTTGTATTGTAATTACTTTAATTCAAGCCTATGATATGAATTATTGAGTTATTTAGGCTGTTGGCTATCTTTTAGCATGTTCGTTAGCTGACCAGCCTAGTTCTAGTTAAGAATATAAATTGCCAGCCCCTCAGTTTAAACAAAAAAAACAGGTTCTTACTTCATCAAAATATTCGGAGGTCCATGCGAGCAGCATTAGAGTCAAATATTATTCCATTAACAGCACAGGGATTTTTTGTGACGTGGCACAGTAATACAGAGTTCAGTTGGTGGGAGGCAGTTAGCTATAGGTGTAGGTATATCATGGATTTACAACAGCTTTGAAGGCAGCTCAGACAATCAAATGTAGAGAAACTGGCCTTTTCTACATTTAGTTACAGCGTAAAAGTAGTCTTGGGAAACTCTCTGAATACAATTGTTTGGTCTTGTTTATTACTTTGCATGTGTATCCTTTCTTTTGCATGACAGCTTGAAGTCTTTCAGGCATGAAATGTCCCAAGTTCCATAAGTGATGCTCAACCAGGCTTGTTGGATCTTCTCTTCTGGATGACCAGAGTGTGGTAGGTTTGTTTTTACGTGAAGTAATAACACAGCTGAAATGATGTATTGTTGAATATGACCATTTTCATATTAACAATTCATTCTGAAAACACAGATGATGGTGGAGGTGTCCTTAGATTACTTTTGAGCACTATATGTTGAGTTAGTCTGCCCTGTGATGGACTGTTGATCTGTCCAAAGTATTTCCTGCCTTCCACCCAATTAGCGCTGGGATAGGCTCCAAACCCCCCCAGGAGGATAAGTTGCTTAGATGACAAATGAACGAATGAATGAATGAATGTTGGGTTAGGTGTGCTACTCTTTATCAACACTAGATGGAGACATATCACAGTTTTAAAATTGTGAGCCTTCAATAAGTAAAAACCTTAAGACTCAAAAGAGGAAGTGGCTCTTTTACTCTTTTCTATACATTCAGTAAGAAGCTTTAGAGCAGTGTTTCCCACCCTTGCTCCTGGAGGCCCACTGTCCAGCACGTTTTAGTGCATTCCCTGCTTTAACTCAGCCACTTTAACTCAATAACGGGCTGTTAATGAGCTGATTAGTTGGATCATGTGTGAAAACACTAAAAAGTGCAGCGAGTGGGCCCGCAGGACCAGGGTTGAGAAACACTGCTTTTAGAACACATTTTAAGTCACTTTCTTACCCCATATTCAACCTCATGTCCTCATGGCACCTTGAAATTATGGAAAATTATACAGCTGCACCTCTGTGATTTTTAATAAATTATCAGCGATCTCTTTGAAGGAAGGAAGTAAGCTCGATTTCCGGGGCAAAAAGCATCATGAAATAATGAACAAAATCTAATTTAAATCATGTCTCCCCACTTGGTTCATTTATCATTTATTTCTGAAAGTCTGATCCTTTCCTCATGCAGCTTCTCTTCATTCTAACCGCATTATGATTGATAGCATAGGGTGTCCAGCCCTGCCCCGGGTGATCCACTGGCCTCAGCTTGGTTTCAGTCTAATGAAACACACCTGACTCTAAAGTTTAGATGCTGCAGAAGACATGGATTGGATCAGATGTGTCAGTTTACTGCTAGAATTAAATTTTACAGGCAATTAGATCTCTGGGACCTCATCTTTGGAGTTATATGCATATTTCTGTGTTGTCCAGTGTTGCATCACACTGTCCCTGAGGTAATGCCACATGTTGCTCACGCTCCTTTAGCCAGAGTCTAATGTTTTTTTGTCAACTTTCCAGGTAAGATATTTTTTAAAGGAGTTTGGCAAAGAGTTAAAATAATAGTTTCACCAAAAAGCTAATGTTGCTAACAGTGGATGAAAATGAATAGCCACTAATTATGACTATATAGAGGCTGTTTACACTTTGCATCAACATGCATTTTAGGTGATCGGATCATGTTCATATGAAAGAATTCAAACTGTACACAGAGTGCAACTGCAAATGGAGATTTATTTGAGTGGAAAGTGTGAATGAAATCTGGCCACGATTCATTCAGATACGATGAGCTGGGCATAAAACACATATTAATGCAAGGTCTATAACAGCTTGTAGAGTCATGCTAATTTGTAGAGACTTGCTTTGGGGTCCATCACTTGGTTCCCAGAGCCATTTATGTTCACTGGATTTCTAGGAAACTGCAGGATGGTGTATGAACCCAGGTGTATGTATGGTGACCCCAGAACTCTAACCATGACTTTAGTAACTCTTTCATAGGTCTTCTTAAAGGTGCCATAGAATGGAAAACTGTATTTACATTGGCTCAGTTGAATAAGGAGAGTTTGGTACATGGAACGGACATACTGTGAACCTCAAACACTGTTGTCTCCTCTTTCAAATACAAATCCTGCATTTACATAAGAGGCTGGTAAAATGGGCCAATTCCAAAATCCTAAACTATTATGAAACAGTCTTGACTTTATATTTACTCTCCCAAAGTTTATATATGACAACAGAACAACACCAAGAAAATGGCAGACTAATGCAGGTGTAGAAATGTCCCAGGGAATGTCAGCACTTTTTATACTCTTTCCAAGAAACCTACAACTTTCTTTCTGAAGGCCCCACCAAGGTAAACGGGCATGGTTATGTTCATTTTTAAACAAGGCTGAAGTTGGCTTCCTGTTCGCCGGCTTCTTAATCGGATGTTGCATCTTAAATGCTACAGCTTGTACAGGTGCCAGAATGTAACTGCAGCACTATTACAGGTGGAATGGAACATTCTCAAAAACGTTTGGCGAATAGGAAACTAGATTCAGGGCACACATCTTTAATAAGATCCTGGACAACATTATTTCAGGGCGGTTAGTTTGTTCTGCACGTTTAACTCTGGACAGTTTCTCAATCCATAGACAGTATCAGGCATCACTGAGGCTTTGCTCAGTGATTGACAAAGAAAAGACTGAAAAGACGAGCAGTTCCAACTTTATTAGCATCATAACCTCAACTACATCCTGTAAGGACCAGTCATGCTGTGTGATTTTATCCACTTTTTGATGGCGGAAACCAGATCATCTTACACTGAAAGTTTCATAGAGAGCAAACAACTTCAATTTACTTAAAGCAAGTAGCTAACATATTAAACATTAGCTACTAGCAAGCTCCAAGTAACTAGCATATCTAACTAAACAGTATGACAACGTAACTTATTTATATAGAGGTTTATTTTATTTTCTTTACATCGTCTCAACATTTCATGATGAATGGACTAATAGAAATGCTCAAAAATCAAATATCTTTAAATTAACTTACATTAAACATAACTAAAGTTTTTGACTTATCCCTTAAAGTTACTAGTTTGGAGATACATGCTTTTCTTTGGTCAGCAACAATGTGGTGATTTGATGAAGATCTAAGGGGATGGACAGTGTTGGGCAAAATACTTTGAAAATGTAGTGATGGATGTAGGGAATACATTTAGAATACATCTTAATAAGGCACATGGTCATATTTTTTTACTTAATTCATGCTGTTCCTCGCTGTTGCTGGTTGGTAGTTTTCTTCCTGTAATTCTTCTCCTAATATGTTTAATGAAAAATTTGCCCCCACAGCTCTCACTGCTGCTCCCACA